TGTTCTCGTGTCGTTACAGCGAGAAGTGGTCACTGTAATGAGAGGCTTTTGTGTCGCTGTAGCGAGAGTTAATACTGCAGCGAGAAGAAAACAGAATGACCTAATTTATATCTCCATTTCGCTGTAGTGAGAGAAGTTCGTCCAAACCAATATAAAAGACAACTTTTATATTCAAGTGAGGGGTTCACTGCTCCATCTTCGTTTCCAGAGGTCCAGACGGCGCAAGGCAGAGAAGAAGAGTAGGAATACTCTTTTTTTTTTTATGCTTTGTTTCATTTGTATCTCTGTTTTTGTTGTTAGGGTTGCCATGAGCAGCTAAATCTTCTTATGAGATTGAATGTAAATCTTCAAACCTGATGTATTCTCAGTAATCTATATAAATATAGCTGTTTCTTCTTCATTTCTAATGATTTGGTGATCTCAATCCGTTTTAATGGTTGAATCTAATTATTTAACGGTTTCTGGAGTTTAGATCTGAGTTGTATTTGGAAAGATATTATTTAGATTTAGATCTGATTGAGATTACTTAATAATTGGTTGTTCTAGAAATATATTTCAAGTTGTTGATTGCTTTTAAATCCCGATTTTAATGATGGATAGTTTATTAACTGTTTGAGGAATCAACATTTGAGAAATTATCTTAAGAATATATTTTCAAAGAATTGAAATATATGATTTTCGTATTTTACATCAGATTCATTGGAAATGATTGCTATATTTATCACTAGATTACTGGAATATAGAGGGGGAGATAGATAAAATTCAATCCCAGCTTTTAAACTTGAATTTTACCTTATTTTAATTTAGTGCTTTACATTTTAATTATTATTTAATATTACATAAAAATTATTTATCAATTCTATTATATATAAGCTCAATTAATTTGTATCTTATTAATTAATACATTTGAATTATTTTCTGAGGACGATATTTCAGTACTCTACCGGTTATTATTTGTAACAGACTCGGTACACTTGTCATATTTGAAGGAATAGATCCAACACCTTGTCACATGGAGAAGAAAGAAACAAAAAATAGTGACACTATCAAGTGCAGAAGCTGAATTTGAGACAATGGTTAAGGGACTTTGTGAACTTCTTTGAAATAAAAAGTTACTTGCTAAAATTGACTTTACTCCTACCTTTGAAATTGATCTCTTTTGTGACAAGACTGCAATTGTCATCTCTCACAATCGAGTCCAACATGATCGTACCAAACATGTAGAAATAGATAGACATTTCATCAAAGAGAATTTGGAAATAAAAATAATATGATTACCATTTGTGAAGTCTGAAGACCAATTAGCAGACATACTCACAAAAACTATATCAAGTAACGATTTTCACAACTCACTTGACAAGTTGAACATAAGAGATCTATATATATTAACTTGAGGGAGAGTGTTGGCGTGAGCTGTCAAATTAATAATAAATATAAAATTTCTTCTATCAAATTTTTTTTTCCGTGAACCTAGCCTTAATATATCCTCTGAAGAGTAAAGATGCACAGAGCAAAATTGCATACTTCAGCACGAAGACCAAGTCCAAGTCAAGATATGTAAATTCCCAACTAACCAAGTCAGCTAAACCATAATGGACGCCAAAGTTAATGGCTTCTCTTAATTGGTTCCGTTTCTAATCTGGTCTCGTCAACTTGGAGCGTTCCTCAAACGAATAATACAACATTTCGTACAAAAACAGAATGTCATACGCCAAAAGGAAATTCAGACAATATGACAAGTTAAACGCCCTGATTATGTCTGCTAGGTATGAAAATCACTTGTACGAGGATTCGAATACTGCAAAACTAACTGATCTGCCTAATTCTATAATTCACCTCAAAACACGCATATAATGCTTTGCTCAAAGAAAATATAGATAATGATTTCTTTTTTGTTTAATTGAAGAGAAAAGAATAAAAAAGTATTAAAAATAAAAATTCAAAATTTTATTTCCTATCATTTTTCCTTCAATTTTTTAGTTACTAATTATAAAAGTTATATATAAACACACACGCCATGATGAGACTTATTTAATAATTATCAAATAAAGAGTTGAGCTCTTTTCCTTGATAACATATGGCTGGTGATACTCTTACGAATTGGAACTTTTTGGTACGGCATGCGTGGATGGCATCAATTTTTGGGTAAATTAATGGCATTTATTCAAGTTCGGTTACCCATAAGACAAATCTCCGTGACCGTATAGGTCGGAATGACACGAGTTGTATGACTTCCTAACAAAACTATTTCTCGACTATTTGAACTCAGGTTCTTGTACAATCGGAACTCAGTCACGACGGGTGGCAGTGATATGCGTGTGACCATGGAAACGTATAGTGCACTAAATTCATGTGCTGCTAGGGAATAAAATTTTCTTTTCCTGAATTATTATACTCCTAGCAAGCGCCAGTCGTCTCCCAGGGTTTTGGTAAAGCAGCAGAAACAGTTATTAAAGTAGACAAGCGCAAACTCGGTGTCCCACCGGTTCAAAAACTCAAGCATAAGATGTGTTTTAGCGCAAATTTTGCTGACGCTGATGCACCAAATCTTGCTTTAAGTAAAGCTATCTCTAAATGTCACTCTCACATGCGTTGGCTTCGAAAGTACATCCATGGACTACATAAAAAACTTTTAACTTTTTTTTAAACACTGGTGACTGGCCATGGTTTAACTCCATGTCTGGCGATATTTGCAATTATTTTACTTCAAAATTCAAACAACACAAGTGCATTAAAGTCGTTTTCGGAGCAACGGTTTTCGATGAATCTTGTCAGTAAGAAATAGTTCTAATTGGACCACGTTTTACAAGAATAACACCTATTTATTTGACCAGTATCACTATTCCATCAGCATTCTTTGTCATTCTCTCCCGTCACACAGTCCCCGTTGATAATATATGAAACAAGATAAGCACCAACAGTATTTCATAAATTATAATGCCTTAGAACTCAATTTAACCCATTCCTGCCCGTCTTATCATCCAGTCACCCTGATAACAAGAAGATGAATGATGAGTGATAACCAACATCATAAGGAATCCGTATCCCTAAACTCTTCTATCAGATTTTTCAGCTTCTTAATTGCAACTTGCTTTGCTCCTTGCTACTTATATCCCCATACTTCATGACAAATCCAAGCTCCCTAATTGAAGAATACAGACTGTTTCCGCTCTCGTATCAAAACTCCGACTCTCAAAGTAGGAATTTCAAATGATCGCTAAAACAACCCCCGGTCTAAAACTTTTACAGTGGTGAATTCAAGTTTCACGCCAATATGTCCTTGTCTTACATGTATAAAGCATATTTGGTATTTATGAATGTTATTATGTCATGCTTAAATTAACATCCACATAACGATTTTTGTGTATAAATTGGTTCATGTATCCATTTGATACACCATCAAACTGACACGTAGAACATATTGTTGGCAGTTAAAAATGGGATGCCAGCATGCTTAGTGAAATTAAATCAGATTACACCTTCATGTAGCACAACCACCACTGCTAAAACCTATAATGAACATAAAAGATTGAAATGACCACATTATATGGTTTGGATTCATTACTCGGTACATTCATCCACTAAATGTTGAGTTATATATCTGGTAGACTTAAATGGAAATAGTTATGGGTGAGACATCCTCTTTCTTGGGTATTTAGGGCACCGAGCTCTTCATGGACTGTAAAAAAATATAATAAAAGGCAAAAAAAAGTATAATTTTTTACCAGAAGTCCAGAATAGATTGACAAATTGAAAGGAAAATGGGTAGACATGGATATGCTAAGGGGCCTCCTCCGAGTTTCAAACAGACTGGAAAAAAACATCAAGCAGGATGAACTGTGCCGGCTGTGGTCTTTTGACTCAAGGTGACGTGTCAATACACCATGAGGAAGACTTAAGAATCAGTTTCCACGGGACTAGGCATTGATAAAACAAGAGTTCTCTGGTTGGGAGTGACGGCCACTAGGGCAAATTATTGGAAAAGTTCTTAAATACTCTTATAGTGAAATTGTATAATTTCTCCTAGAATAAAAAAAATGCAATGCAGGGTTTTCCAAATGTTGCGCATGTGTGTCAGAAATTAAGAAACCGATTCCACTTCCATCAATTCAAAGAGTTAAGGATACCCCGCCCAAAAAAATGACACAGAAAATCATCATGAAAGCACGAACCCTATAGGCCAGAATGATAACAACATGATGAAAGAAACAGTTTGAATATACATTTTCAAGACCACTAAAAACAGATAAGAAAAGAATATACATTCTAGATAAAGAATTAAGTCTACGTTAAGGTGGGTAAGAAAAAGCTAAATTAACTTGTCAATGAAATCTCATGGAGTCTATGACCGAAGAAAAGCACTCCAAGGTTATACTATATGAAGCTGAATTGGTTGCCTCTACCCAAAATAACACAGCCAATGATCATATTGTTCTCTGTGAATTGAGTTTTCTTTTTTTTGTGTGTGTGTGTATGAAATTGTTCATAAATCCAGGACAACTCATGCAGCTTAGCTTAATCAACAAAACCATAGTATAATTGCAACCTCAATCAGAAGAATCTGTGACATGTGCCCCAAAGTTACAGCTACATGTCAGCAACGGGTAGTGAAGAGTGTAAATCATTGAAGTATTACCCCAAGGAAGAACGTGATTTTAAATGCAAATGTCTTCATATACACACACACACAAATACAAAAACCACGCATACACAATTAAGATTGCTTTATACGGATCACGAAAGCTACACCTGATACACATCATCCACTAACAGCAGTGATCAACCACATCATTACATGTATTCACAAATGTATAACAACTTAAATGGCAGACAATACAAATTCAGGGCAATTCATTTCAAAAGTACCTCAAGTGTAAGAAGGATATCATATCAATATGTTTTCTAAGAATTTTTAGTTAAGATATATTTAAGAAGTCATATAACCAGAGATTATACCTCTTCTCCTGTAGTCTACATGCATATCACCTTAGTGGAATGGTTTAAGTTGGCATTGGTCCACTGTAAGGGCTATGAACATCTGAAGTGAAGAAAAGAACAACTGATACTCCAATGATCCAAACAAGGGTACATAGAAACAGCATCTGATTTTTCATTGAAATCACATTAGCCAAATGGTCTTTCTCCTCTGGCAAGGTCGTATACGAATGGAGATCATGTATGACATACTCAATTATCCCATCCATAAGCTTTCTATATTGGGGACCATCATTGACCGAATTGAGGACCTCATGTTTAACATTTCTGAGAAAATTAACAGCAATCTCAGCCTCCACAGAAGCAAACTTGGAACTATCCAACTCACAGGCACTAAAACAATTAGTGGAACCGATTCCCGTTGTGCCAGCGATATTTTTAGGAGTCATATCAGACGGAAGCAACGTAACAGAGGAAGGTTCTTCCAATAAGAAGTTCTGAAACATATATAAATTATTTGAGACAGTTGAAGCCTCCACTATCCAAAAAGTACAAAATTCCTAATAAATCCAATCCCTAGATTTTGGTAATTGCAACCAAAGTTGCATTTAAAGATCAAATACATATCAACGATAAATCAACGCATATAAATTCTGGCAGACGCATAAAATTAAATAAATAAAGACAATTTGCACATCGAAAATTTTCCAGTAGCTTAAATTAGATAAATGACACAGTTACCAAGGTAGGAAGCATATTTCGGTAGCGTTTTACAGTTTTGTGTCACACGAATCGATATGAATATAAGACAGCAGCAAAGAACCAACACAAAAAAATTCGGAAGAAACAGAACACTGATATTCAAACTTACCGTGACATCTTCGTTGCGATTTGCATCTGAGATCTCAGAGATCGGCGATAAATCCACGGAATCTTCAGAAACGGATGTAAATGCGGCATTCAAGCTCTTGTTTGTGATCTGGCGTAAGAGAAGGAAATGAAAAATAGAAATTGAATATGAAAAATGAAAAAGGCATGGAAAAAGAAGAATAAAAGAAACAGTGAGAAATTAGGCTTTGCCTTGTTAGACTTTTTGGATGGAAAATCCTTGAATCTTCCCTTGCCATTCTCTGCAGAGCGCAAAAATACTTTGTGTGGCGTTTGATGCTCTTTCATTGGCGGGAGTTGAATAACAAATGAACAGTATCCGATGAATTTCAATTTTTTAATATATATACGTCGAAAATTCGAAATGGTACTGAATACAAGGATAATAAACTTTTATATATTTATTGTTTCTCATTTAATTTTCTATATCGAAACATTGAGTTTTGTTAACTTATAAGGAGTTAGTTTAAACATTCATACAAAATAATTATTTATTTTTTATTAAATTTTTACTATTTTTTATTTTTATTTTTAGAATGCCAATAATTAACATTTTTTATGACTTATTTTATTTAACAACTGAACAGTGTCTTTTATAATAATTAAAAAGGAGGAAAGCCAATATCATTTCATGGTTAAAGAGGGATGACACTGCTTTGAATTATTTTTGTTGATTAAAAAAACCGAAACCTTTTAAACTAAAATATGGGTCATTTTTTGCACAGAAAAAGGCCAAAAAATAATTGAAACTTCTTCAGTTGTAATAAATGTTCCAAGTCCAAAGTCAAAACAATAATAATTATTGATTTAATAACAAAACAGTAAGTGATTGAGATTTAAGATGATAACTTAATAAATTTGCTTTTGTTATCTCCATCCTTACTCCTTAAAGAATAATGTTATAACAGGACAAATTTAAATTCCCTTCAATAGTGTAGTTGGACATCAATAACCCTCGCCACAATCTCTTGCGCCCAATGACTCTCAAGTAGTTCCATTAGAACAATAGCTACACCTTCGTCAACTCTCAAACCAATCACGTAGGTGCATGTTGCATTTTTTTATCACACAAGAGAAGTGGAACAATCCTCTTAACTTAAGGCACTAATTGGAGAAGCTATCTAATACTTAACTTATATTTTGACACATTTAATTAGTTTGATTTCATTGGACCCATTTATTTTATCAACCCTAAATATAACAACATGTGAGTCAAAAGAGTAGTTACAAAACAACCCAACAAGTTACCATTGCATGTAATAAGGTGAAATGAACCATTATAAACCTCTAGTAATTCCAAGGACTGTAGAGTTAAAACTTAAATATATTTTAAAATTTTATAGTTTTTATTTATATGTAGTCTTTAAAAATTAAAAAATTATGTATCTTCGATCTTTAGTTATCGAAGACGTGTGGAACAAAGCAAGACATTCAACTCTTACCAATTTGATTGTACCTTCTTACGGTATTCCTCTGAGTTCATCTCTCCCTCATTGATTGACTTATTGTAGATGCGTTTGCTTTTATAATTATTTTACTGTGTGCTTTTGAATATATAACAAAAAATTAATAAATAGTAATTTTTAATGAAAAATTATAGTATTTATTGTTATAAATACATTAAGTTATGTGATAATATTTGTTAAAAATTTGTCAATAAAATGTATCTTTCCGTAAAAGAAAAGATTTATTAAAAATTAATGAGTTAGAAGACTTACAACAATGACACAAGCAAGCGTACGTACGTGTCGTCCTAAAGGTAAACGGATAAAGTCTTCACTTTGAAATAGGGAAAAAAAAAGTCTTCACTTTGACTCCAAAAAATACTTTTATTTATTAATAATATTTTTAATAAATAAATAAATTATTATCCATTAAATGTAACGAAATGTTGTTTCATTTTTTTTTTTAATTTTATTGTTTTCCCTGATGTTATCTATGGCTGTATTTTTATATTATTGCCTTTCTTTTATTGGGTGACTAAAAACCTTTCACATTAATGTCTAGGATTGGAAAAATATATCAAACAAATTTAAATATAATAATTTTAAAAGCAAATTTTCATTTTAAAAGAATAAAAATAAATGAAGATATATAATTTTTTATTAGTTAAAAATAAACAATGTTTTAAAGTTTGCTTTAAACTTGTTGAATCAACCTTGCAAACAGCCACAAACACTGTAGTTTGTGAGGTGTGACGAACGAGCGTAAACTTATAGTAATTAATGTCCTGAATAAATCGTAAAGCCGAAGTGCTCAAATCGCCTGAATAAGGAAAAATGCAGTAAAATGACGGTCTAGGTATTATGATCTCTAGCAGAAGAAAATCATCAGATGAGAAAAAAGTTATTTTGAAACAACGTAATTTGGTAAAAAATATAACTTTTTCTTAAAAGCGTTACGAATAATCCAAAAAGTTATTTTCACTTTTTAACTGAATGGAGGATAAAAATAGTTGTTGACTTATACTGTAAAAGAAAAAAATATCTATCACTTTGATATATTTTACAAAACCTACTTCGTACAATTTGAATTTTACAATTTAAAATCACCATATACATTTACACAAAGTTCAGTTCGTTATTAGAAACATCCATAAAACTACAACTATATATTTTATCTTAAATTATATATACATATTTATTGATACTAAGTGTTATATTTATATACTTACACAATTTAATAATTTTTTAGAAACTATAAAATTAGTTAATTTAATTATTAAATTATCTTATATTACATTTATGATTATGTATGTCAGATTTTATTTAATTTAAATATTAGTAGGTATGTTGTCTCAAACTTTATATTAACTTACATGTTAAAAATATATCACTTATTAAAATAAAATAATATAATGAAATTCTGTTAATTTTTTTTATATAAAATTTTATAAAATTAATCTACTTAATAATAATCTTTAAATCATGCGTGGCCTTCCCAACTAAAGCTGCTTCAAAATAATTTTCATTCTTAATGATGAGGGACTTGAACTCTTCTGTAAAATGTATGTGACAGTAATCATAAACTTATACGAAGTGTCTACGACTGCTGTTACTAATCGAGCTTTTACACTGTTTTTCATCATCGTATGGTAGAGTTTCAACCCATTCACATCAATTAGTATGAACACAATTGGTTAATTAAAAGCAGAGGATAACATTTTAGATGAGATTCCAAATGATATATGTGGATGTGAATGTTAAGACAAGGGCTACCAATCGTGAAACTTTACCCAAAAATTAGGTAATGTATACTTACATTAAGCATACCTTTATATCATTTAACAGTATTTTGTTGAATGATTTCATCCCAAAATTTATTATTAGACTAAAAGTTCCTATGATACAAGTTATACCTTGCAAACTTTTATAAATTAAAAATTATTTAAATATTTTATTTGTACATGTCAAAATTAATGAAATATATAATTTTAAAATAAATTTTGATTACAATACATTGAAAATATAAATATTTTATACCATTTTTTTATTATAGATTATTATATAATTAAATATTATTAATTTTTATACTAGTCATTTTTAAAGCCATATCAAATATGATTACTAATTAATTGACGATGTAAAAAAATTACGCTGATAAAAGATCAAATAGATCTTCAAAATATGGAAAAATAAAATTTATAAAACTAGAAAGAGGTGCAAATGGATAATTCATTGCAAAACGCAACCCTATTTATAATGTCAAAATGAATAACTTGAAGACATGGATTAAAACTAAATCCGGCCCACATATAAAACATACTCATACATTAAAAAAAAAAAATCACTTACTTGTAATGCTAAATTTACCAAAGTAAATATTTAGTTTTTTTCTAACATATGCTTAAGACATGCAATAAAGTTATGTAATATTATTCAATTCATTGATAATACTAAGTATAATAATTTATTAATTTCTCATCGTATATTATTGAACAACTATTATTTTTTTCTTTTTAAACTACATATAAAATATAAAATTGCATTACATGTTTAATCGTTAGATTTGTATCATCAAGAGAAGCTAATCGTTTCACATTGATTTATAGGTGCATAGAATTGGCACTATGCGTAGGCAATTAAGGTGTCTAATCTAAGGCCTCATTTTTGTCAGGATTCAAAAAAAATTCAATAATATATATATATATATATATATATATATATATATATATATAAAGCAAATTAATGTTCTATTTATAATGTTTTATTAAATTTAAATATTATATTTATAATTTGAGATAACTTCTTTTTAATATAGTAATAAGCTATTAGATTTAATGAGTATTTACAAATGTATAAGTTTTTTTTACATCGAGGTATATTTCGTATAGTAATTTATTTCCATTTTTCAAGAAATGTATTATGAATAGTTTAGCTATTTTATTGATTAAACAATTCAAAATTTAAACTTAATTCCATAAATTTAAAGTCTAATTTTATATAATACAAAGTAAATATAAATAATATTTTAAAATATGTTATATATGTTTAAAAGATCCTAATACAAATCTCGTTTAATATCTCAAGTAATCTTCAACTGGCCATAAGTAGGTGCACAAAAATGTACGGGTATCATCACTAGTATCTAATAATATTCCAACTTTCTTTATATTCTCAAAGTCAAGAAGCCTATAGGTGTAGTATGGATAAAGAAAACATATTGGCCGAATGCACGGCTAAATCTAATGCTTTTATGCCAACAAGTCAAAATGAACATCCTCCCAATACAGACTTGATCAATTGGATCAGCTTTCTCCTCTTCCTCCATGATGTTCTGCCAGTGGGTGTATCATTTTACATAAATTTTTTTCAGAGACTTAAAGAAGATGGTAGATAATTAAAGAGAGTTTTATCCTTTAATGAACTTCATTTGGTTTGATATTCTTCACTCTCATGAATATAGGCACAAATGTAAAATTATTTACAAATACAATAATATCTCTACTAAATAGCTTAATCTCAAATTATATTTAATATTTATCAACTAAGAATAGGTAACTACATATCCCAAAAAAACATGACATGAAAAAACAAATCCCACAACCTCATCGAAAGTCTAAAATAAAATAAAGCATGCTTTTGCTATAAAAAAAAAAAAACACAGTAAAAAAGAACCGCCAAAGACTGATCTGACTGAGAGAAAAACCCCCCCAAAGTATTCTACACTATCTGCGCAAAGAAGAAAAGATAAAATAAAATTGAGAGGAACACCTAGCTATCAGAAATACAAAGCAAATAGCATGCAAGAAACCAAGACAAACTATAGCATGCAAATACACCAACTTCACTATGGATAGAAATTTCATCTCTCTCATAATAACAAATTACACAAGATACCGGCAAAAGAAAATTGTCACCAATAGAAGTTTCAGGTTTAATTGAATTTCCAACAAAATATAGTAATTCTTTAATTACTAGTCTTAGAATTAATACCCCCAATATAAACTAGATAATTATCTCTTTTAACTGAAATAACATTAAGTTGTGTATAAAAGAATATGTAACAAAAGAAAGAATGAAAAAGCGAGATAAAACTTAGATTGGTGGGTTCAGGCAAGTCTGGAATCACAAAACTATTGTCTAAATAAAAAATGATGAGATTTTAATAGTTCAAATCTGAACTTATAAATTATAGATAGTTTGTTTCATTCAAATTATGCTCAAGTTTGCAGTATTCGTTTTGACATTCATGAATCGCATAATCTTATCCTTCAAAGTCACTTCGGTTTAAAAGGGGTAAGGTTTATAAATTATCCATAGTTCCATTGTTATTTAATGAGACTTTGAGGGACAGAATAAGAACAAATTTAATTGATTTGTTTGATCAGATTCGTCCAAACTAATGGACTCCCCATTCAAAATCATTCTTTGGGCTTCTTAATGATGTTCTCTTCAATTTCTTCGCTCACAAGCTTGTTGATTTGATGTTGACTGCGTGATAACATATTATTATGTTTTTCTGTTTCACGTGGTAATTTAATAAAAGTAGTTTACAATTATTATTAACGTAGGAAGTAGCACGTTAGTTTAGCAACTACCTTTGTTTCCACCCAAATTTCATAACTAAACCTTGTTACCATATATATCTGATTGTTCGTAAAAATTGCCAGTCAACTAGTCACAGTATTTGGAGCAATTAAAATATAAAAAATTGTCTCCCATTATTAAATCAAGAAGCGGAAATTTTGCCTTTAATGATTGAATATTGAACAAAAACCATAAAATTGCATCACTTATCATAATCATAATTTCATTTTTGGTGGTCTTGCCAAGTGATAGAATGGCAGCGCATCACGAATTAGTGGCAAACCCACTCAAATTCTTTGCCATCTTTAGTGCTTCCTGTGGAACTATACTCTTGCGTCTTTCCAACTATACTTTCACGCAATCGCCTCTATAAATTGCCACATTTTGCAGCGCAATGGTCATAGCTCTCAAACATTTAGCGTATATAAGTTGGTAGTACATAGTCTACATGTCTAAATAATCATATTTCAATTATGTTTTCTATGTTTTAAATATAATTTAGTATTGTTAATTAATTAGCACATTATCAGAAATTTTAAAACCGGTGATAACTCCCACGATTAACTAATGTTTAATTTTTTTGTTATTTACGAGCTATCACTTTAAGCTTAAAATAGGGCAACAAGTATTTATTTTTTAAAGTTATATATAAATTCATTAATTTTATTGGCTTATTATTAATTTCTTTTACAGGTTGTGGGAACAAAAAGATCATGAGGACCTTATTACTTGCACTCTTGTGTATTGTGATGATGACCATGTTGCAAGTTGGTGCAGTGAATGAAGAGAATGAGCAAAGAACAAAGGCAAAACGCTATCTAATGAGCGAAACTGTTCTTGGTCGAAAGGGCATTGGTAGTGACCCAAATGACCACCGCATGAGAGGGTCAAATGCAAATACCAACGTTGCTGATTCTAGCAATAATAACCAAGCGAATGAGTATGATGTGAACGATGATGATGGTGGTGATAGAAATGATAGTTATCATAAGTATGGGAATGGCTTAGGAGGACCAACACCAACCCTCAATAGCCACCACTATTTTGATGTTCGTAGGCCACCCATACATGGCTAGCTAATGTGTGGGTGGGAGACGAAGCTTCATGAATATGTGCATGGTGTTGCATGTGTATCTGTTAAATAAAGTGCAGCTAGCATATGTCTATGTGTGTGTAAGTGTGCATGTTAGTTTCACCAAGATTTAGCTATCAGTCTCCTTGTGTTGTTTCCTTTGTTAAATGTATTAATTGATATGTGTCTCTGGTAAATATTATGTGCAACTGCATGCATGTACATATATATGTTTTTATTGTTTTGGCTGATTTCCAAGGTAAGGAAGAGAGAGAACAACACTGGAAAACGAAGCGTAGTTCTGTAGTTTCATCTTTTCTATGTTTACATGCCTGGTCGGGTTTGCGTATATAAATGGAAATACTGCAGAAGGAAGTAATTAAAATCATGGCCATATATGCATATAGATGATAGATCATTCAAGTAATCAAATCCCAAGCTTATGAGGCGTGTGATCCTCGAACCAAAACTTGGGATTGGTTTGAATGTCCAGGTTTAGTAAGTCTTTGTATCCACGTTTAAAGGGACGATAAATTTATGTTAAAATAAACGTTATTAGTTATAAATTTTATATTGAATCTATGTTTACGTTCATAAATCTTTTAATATATTTCTAAACATATAGTAAATCATCAAAATAGCGATTGAAAAAAATAAAGACTAAAAAAGGTAGATAAAAACTAATAAAATAAAAGGACTAAAAATAATAAATAAATACTAAAAACACAAAGCCCAAAAGAGATTGAAAAGTTATTTAAGTCTTTGATCTAGTGTGATCACATTCATTCAGGTAGGGCTAGTTAAGTTAAGGACATTGACAAACCTATATCAGTTAAGTTTGATCATTTTAGATTTTATTTTTGTTGAACTCAACTTATGACCACTTCTATATTCTCTCTGCATATATATATGTGTGAGTTTAAGTATTAATACTTTTTTTCTAATCTTATATTGTCTCTTGACATGTCCATTTCTCTGAGTACAACTAGAAAGCATCAATAGAATGAAAGATAATTTAGTCTCGAGGTTATATTTCCTAAAGGACTAAATTTGAGAGTATTTGCAATGATTTTCTCAATTTTTTTACTAAATTTTAAAATTGAAAGACTCATAACTAAGAGCATATTTGATTTCCATTTTGAAAACAGTTTTTAATTTTTTAAAATTAATTTAATTTTAAAAAATTAAAAACTGTTTTCAAAATAGAAATTAAACATACTCTAACTCTCTAGTCTATATTGTTAAAATGTCTAAGATTAGCCAATATGGTTAAAATATTACTTAAATACTTGGAATATTTTTAAAAAAATTAGCTTTTAGAGATGTTGAGTTAGACTAGATCTAATTCCAATACTATGCTCTTTTCAAATCCATATAAATTTCCACCTACTGCTTTAGATTCAGTCTACAACATGTATACTGATAAAGTTTTTGTTTTTGGTTTTCTTGGACGGGGGCAGGATCGGAGGAAGAGGCTACACAATAGTATGTGTAAAACCTCATAAATGAGAATGAAAGGTTGAGATTTAATTTAGCAGTCTTCGAAAAAACTTGGGTCACTTTGGTAAAAGTTCTTAGGGAAAGTTAACCATTCAGTTTCTCTCTGTATTATGGTGTAATATTTAGTCTTTTGGAGTATGAGGCAAGATTGGCATGTTTTAACAAAATCGTGATTGTATTTTGATCTCTTTTAAAATTTTAAAAATTTGCGCATATAATTAATAGTTGATTGTTCATTATTTATTTCTTACTCAATATAATTTTGCAATCAATTTAATAGTTGATAATTTTATCAAATAAATCTTAAAGTAAGTTTATATATAGATATGTAATTAGATAAAACAAAGATGTATGTGAAATCAATAAGTTTCTAAATTGTCTCCAATTAAGTTTAAACATATATAAATACTTTTATTAATTATCGTTTTACTTTGAAAAGAAGAAGTTGAACATTATTGAAGTGATATTAAAAGTAAAAATATTTGAAAATAAAAATAAACAATGAGTAGAGGTTGTGTTCATAAAAGACATAAATAAATATTAAAATATACTTTAAAGATCATGACCTTCATAGATTTTATAACATATCCCCATACTATATTCTGTAAAGCAACACTCAGTATTAAAAAGTAGATGTCGCTGAAATTTTGTTACATAATATATATCTTCATAAATAAATTTAATGGTTCTTATTACCAAATACTCATCATTTGGTTAATGGGATGAGATGGAAAAGAATACAATATGATAAAAACAAAATATAATACGAGTATGATAGATTTTTATATTATTTTATATTTAATATGTAATAAAATAATAAATTAGATATATTTTATTTATTTTGTTTCTAATTCATATATTTTATAAGATAAAATTTATATTAAATAATAAAATAAAATAAGCCTATAAATTTTTTTTATCATATCTTATTTATTAATATATAATAATAAAACTATCATGTTTTTTTATCCTATTTAAAAAATGAATTTAAATTTTTTAATTAATAAAATATTAATTTTTAACAAGTGTCTAAAAAATAAAAAATTAACAAATATTATTTTTTTTATTGTACGTTAAGATTAATTACATAGACTAATAAAAATAGTTAAAGTTAATTAATTTTTTTTATTTTTTTAAAGCATTTTAATATAATAATTTTAACTTCATCTAATATGATTGTATTTTAAATATATTATTAAATTTTATCTTTATTAGTGTTGATTTAGATTTTCATCAACTCCATTTATTAAAGACAAGTAAAAAAAAAATACAGTAAAATATAATACGAGGTAAGATAATATAAAATATAAGCAAATTTTTAAATATTTTACACTATTTAATAAATTTATTTTCAAAATATTCTTTATCAATTTATGTTTTATTTTTAATAATTATTTTTATTCTTGAGATATGACGTCAACAGTTATATACAATTTCCAAATAGAAAGAGAAAAATTTACTTAAAATAAGCCCCATAATTTAACTCTTTCTCAAAAATCATTTTTTATCTTTGATATTGACATTTAAGCCTATAATTAAACTTCAGCTATTAAATGATATCATTTAATGCTAATAAAAAAATTAAATTATCTTTATAAGTGATTTTGTCTGTAGAATAAACATTATAAAAGATATATTAGGAAACGAACTTTATTTTTTTTATAAAATTAAGAATATTAAATAAAATTAATTAATTTTCTTAATAAGTACAATTTAGTTATTTTTTATTTATGTTTCAAACAGGAAAGAGTACTTTAAAATAAAGATCACTATTTTTTTAAATGTATCTTATAAAAAAAATAGGAGTAAATTTGTCTTATAGATGATAGCATTTACGGTTATTAATACATCAAATTTAATAATATTATATAATTTTTAATGAAAATTTATTATAATAAATTTTTATTGTATCTCTTTAAATAAAAATTAAAAAATCGATAAAAAAATAACAATGGTCCAAATCAATTTCTCTTTCAAAAAAAGGATTTCCAGATACAATATCTCATTTGTCAAAGCGCAATGAGTTATCAGTTGAATCCGCTGCCTTGTATAATTAATGCATCTAACCAAAGCAAACTCATCCCTCATTTCCAAGGACGAAATAAATGCACATTAATTTTTCTTCAGTCATTGCCAATAGTGGAAGCAACTTAGCCAACAGAAAACCCTGCCAATTCCTACCAAAATCATAGTAATCCCTTCAACGTTACTATGAGGAATTCTGTTCTGTTAATTTACCCTGCATGTCTGTCATGCATTCAAAGTTGTGTATATATATATCCTAAATTAGCTTCAAAATCTGAGTTAAGTGCTTTAATGTTGAAATTTCATATAACAAAGTCATGTGTAAATTTTGTTTTTATGTCTCTCTTGATGGTCATTGAATAAGTGAAACCCTTTAAAAAATTATGAAAAGACAGATAAATATAAAATTTGTACATTACCGATTATCTCGCGTGAGAGAATCATTCCTGTAACATATCTACAATTTACAGAATTGTAAATAATTAAGAGAGTACCACCATGAAAATTTGTCCCACTTCATCAAAAGATAAAGAAATCTAGATAACATACAGAAATGAGTAAACTAGTTGGTGGGGTAAACTTTGTGTAATGCAGAATATCTGAACGTTGTGGGTCTAAGTGGGTCCCACAATAATGTGCTGTGTTCTTACCCTCAGTTAGAGTTGGACCTTGGACCTTGGACCTTGTTGTGTCTCTGCTGGCTACATGGTGCAATAGTACTCACTTTTTGTTTCCCTTAACTAACTAGTTCACCACTCACCTCACCAGCTCGAATTTATACTGCAAAAACCGAGACACGTTGCATGGATCTGACAGATATCCATAATAATCTATTGAAAATTATAATATTTGTGTTAAATTTTATAATTTTTAATATAAATTATTATCCTTAAAATAGATCTTACAAAATATTGTATCTATATTTGTTCCCTTAACTGTTTTGTTAATGTTTCACAGGCAAAACAGTGACGTTCCTGTTCTTGAGATATTTTTGACTAGTTTGAAAACATGCAACTCTCATGCCACCACATGCGTATAAATTTTATAATTTATAAAAAAAATTAATATATCACAGCGTGAGTGATTAAGGTTACACAGTTTTGAATATTCCATTTCTTTCCTAATTAGAAGTATATGTCCTCAATGATTAGCCTGACTAGAAAGCATTCAACTTCCCGTTGCCGGCGATAAATACGTGATTGTACAGTAAGGTGAGTGTTTTTTTCAAAGAGGAAAAGGAAAAAAAAAGTGACTGTTCTGGTAATTTTATTCAATCATTAAAATTAATTTTTGTATAATTAATTTTAAATAAACAACTTTTTAAAAAGATTAATCCCAAATACACACCCGGACGCACACACCAGGAAGACTAACGAAATGTATATTTATACTTCGATAGTAATCTACTTTATCATCCCCATAAAATTAATTCTTTTACGTTATTTCTAAACAAAATTTTCTTACTTATCTAAAGAGCATATTTTCATTTAAAATATTTTTCGAGCCATTCGTATAAACGCTTTAAAAGGGAAGGGCTTCCAACTTTTACAATGTTTGAGAATGCACACATTACTTATCAAATCACTGCTTGACTTGGACACTAAACCCAACATCGATAGCCTTAAAAAAGTCATAAACCTCATTTTACATATACAACAATTTACTAAGTACGGAATTCAGATATAACCTATGGTCAAATGAATTCATTCAATCAACATGCTGACCAAATATTATACACAGAATAACAGCATTCCGTAAATCTAGACAATAGAACTGGCGAATTGCTAAATCAAAAGTTGCTTTTTGATTTTTTTTTCCTTTCATTTTCAGGGATAAATTTCTAACAAGTGTTATAAGTTCGAGCATCATGAATAAGTTTGTCTCAGCATCAGTAACCAAACGTGCCAGCACTATGAATGGTATATTCTAGCAAAAGTGCCAATAGTGTATTTTCTGGTATTGACACAGTTGCCAGAACACCCGTATAAGAGAAGCATGTTTACAATCATACAAGTCAGTGATCGAGTGCACTTCGAACTGTGAGTGGCGGATTTAGAACTGCGCCTCTGGATATAAGATCATGGTTTAAGAATAAAACAATAACAGTTATATCGTCGTGAAAATGGCGTCGAACCTTCTTGTCAATCTTGTAAAGGTCTGAATATCGCATTTCACGTTTTCTTGCTGCTTCGTGTAGGGCAGCCTTGACAAGTCTCTTGGCACTACCCTGCATTGACATAATCTATAAGCACCTGTGGATTTAAAATAGGTACGAGAATGGCAAGACAGTGTGAGAGAGAGAGAGAAAAAAAAAAACAATAAAATCAACAAATCAGCAGGAAAAATAAAATCACCCCCTCAATTTCCTTTAATCTGGGAAAATAAAATGCAAGGCCGTATCTACAATTACTTCTCAATGATAAACAGCAATACAGAAAAGGAAATGGCTTCTTGATTTTCCTTCAGTATGTAGAGAGAGAGAGAAAGAGAAAAGTTAGCAGTGATCAAAGGCTTTTTATGAGGGGTCAAAAGTTAGTCCCGTGCCTGATGAGGCAATAGCAGAAAGATACGAATCAATAGAAACTTTCTGTTATATAGAAGACATCTAACAACACTGAAGCCATACAAGCGCACCCTATATTTGCACAAGTTTGTGAGTAACAAATTTTCCTCATACCAAGAGCATTAATAGTTGGTTAAAAATGTGTAATAGAGTAGGAAACAAAGTCCTCACCGTAATTACATGGAAAAATAAATTAGATTCAGGTAATAAGAGTTTAGCAACTCATTGATAAAGTTAAAAGCATCAGGCAAGCAGTTGAGAAGCTGACAGTGAAGATGTATGACTTGTCAAGCCTATGATATTGGTAACTACATACTATTCCATTCACGTTCATATTGCAAGAAAATAGTAGTTGTCCCAAATAACATGCGCTATACTGGATGAAAACAATGGGTTTAATCAAGTTCAAAACAAACAAAACCAAAGCATCCTGCAGTCGTAGGAAATGATACAAAGAAACCATGAACAAAGTGATTACCAATTTACCAGCACACAAATAAGTAGTGTAAGAAAATCAAAACAAAGTAGAAAAGAATCTTACGGCTCGGGGACTGCTGTGAACAATATCCACTGCTTGATCATTACTCAGGTGCTCCCATAAACCATCTGATGCAAATATAAGGAAGGAATCATTTGGTTGGAGACGATGAGAAAAAATAGTTGGATTAGCAGACAAGTAAGGCATGTTCATTGGTTCTGGAAGTCTGAATTTTGGATTAATGGGTTCCTGGTTATACTGCGCATGTTTCATATATACGTCACCAATAGATCTAGAAACCTGCACCAAATATCACAGAAGTGGTGATATGCAGTGTCATAATTCAGAGAGTTGAAAGTAACATTGAAAATTAAGATAAGAATAATGCTAGCAACACATTTTCTCTGACACACTCTTTGTAATATACTCTCCGCTGTTGGCTAAAATTTATTGAAAATTTAAAAAATCATGTGACTCTCCTGCTCACTCTTAAAATAATATTTCTCTTTCATACTTTTTTAGTTTTCAATAAATTTTGACTAATAATAGAAAGTGTGTTGTTAGCATTCCTCTTAAAATAATGGTTGTAGGAGTTACTAGGAAAAAAGTGAACCATTAATTTCATAGTACAACTTTAAAAAAGCAACAGAAGATTGGTTGGAAAGGCATATTTACAGTTACATATGTGATTTGCTACATTCATTTTTCTAATACATAACCATGATAGTAATGCATTTCTTTTCACACAAACCACACTTGAAAACTAAGTTAACCAACAAACTCAATAGCCATAAACAAAACAGCAAGCTGTGTAAAAGCAGATTCTTTTTAAATTAAAATACCAGTAAAATTTGCAAACAACTAATTTAAAGAACTTCTTTCCAGACCCTGCACCCATCTCATGTTTCTTTTTTGTACCACATCTTCCATAAAAAGTAGTAATAATAAACTTTCTGATAAAAAATAATTGCCTTTTACTTTTTTAAATCATTTTGAATCTTGGAATACATAAAGGATAACTAAAGCCCCTTATGGAAACTATATGTGACAGAATAATTATTGTTTCAATCAAAGAAATGAAAAACATATTGCCTTCTAGTGTGCTGTTTTGATACACCCACTGCTATAAGCAGTCTCATGAAACCAAAGTTCTGATGTACAAACAGCAAATTTCTTTCCATGCAGTGTGCATCAAACTTGTCTATTACCTAAACTTCCTTTCCTTTTCTCTGAAACACATCCTTTCTGGTTCCAATCCTCATAGTATTCTTTCTTATTCTCACCCTGCCCCCTCATTCTATATCTTCTGTTTGCTTGCAAAATTATCCCAAAGAAGAGTTAAGAATGACTATGAAATTAACGAGACCTATAATGATGTTATACCTGAAGGTGCACATAAATCACATTGTATGCACATCTAGCCATATGAACTCAACCATAGGGGCATAAAGCACCTAAATTCTAACTCCATATAATAGATGGGCAATAGTGTTTTGAAGCATGACAATAATCAAGATAAATAACCCACCAATATATATATATATATATAAGTTGAGCAACTTCCTTGCAACGTCACATAGTTGGCAAGCACCAACCAAAATATAAAAGACACTGAGATCAGAATATATTTATGCAATATGGTTAATTTGCAACCACACATTTCCCCTAAGTCAAAAGGATAGGAATAGTAACAAAAAAAGAAACTTTCTCCATGGATTGTTTCACATACTATTAATCTTGCACATAAGAAATAGTTCTTAGTGCATATGAGGCATTGTAGTAAGTATAATTATAATAAGCTTCCCCATTGTTTTGTTTTGTATCTAAGCATTTTTAATTTGTCATTCAAATCTAGACAACAAGCAAACACAGCTCTGAAGTCTGAAACACAGCAGGCACATCAATTGTACTGATGTTGGTGGTCTAAATTTATCATTTCTAAACTAATGGAGATGCTGAATGATATAAATGACAATCATATGCTGCAAAATAAACGAAATGAACGCTTTCACTTTATATGTGATATGTGTACCACTATTTAGGGATCAGTGGTTCATTTCTTATTGCATTGCCCTACAGCCACTTGCGTCTGAAGTAGGTTTTTTCATGCGATTGGTGAATCCTGGGAGTGATCTCTCAATTCAGAACAATTATTTCAAGGAATTTGGTACACTAAGAAAGAAAAGCTATATGGTATTCTGCTACCTATTTTGCTTGTATTTGGATTTATTGTGATGATCATTTCTTTAAAAATTCTTCTCAGGTCACACATCTTACACAGTGCAGGATCACTTTTCTGGCCTATTTGGGGTGTTTGGCCAATGTAACTATTAGCTTTCTTCCAGATATACAAAGGGTTCAGCAAGCTTCATTGTCTTGATCTATTCAAATGTCTTTTATATGTTTCTGCCTTGTTCCTTGCTTAAGAGAAAGGATATAATATTCTCCTCTTTTCTTCATTATCATTTTCTCTTCACCAATCACCTTTTATAGTACAAAAAAATTTCTACTTTTAGCAGGAAGAAAAATAGTAGTTGTACTACATGGGATCATTTAATAAAACTTCGAACATTGGCATGCTTCACTAACTCTACTTGCCAAGTCTGTCTATGCTTCTATTATGTGGAACTGTCTAGCAAGTAAATATGATTAAACTTGTCTGAGTGGGATTCAGTAAAAAAAAAAAAAAAGTATAGCTTCATCATTTTTTTATGCACCGAATATAAGAAGTTAATTTATTCCAAATCTCATAAGAAATTCTCCTTTTATTTGGCATTTTGGAGGAATTTCTGGCAACAATATTGTAGAAGATGGAAGGTGGAACAAAAATAGACACCATGAGGAATGGGGGGTGCACACATAAATTATAAATAATAATATACTCTAAAGATAAATTACAAAACACAGTAGAGAAATCAAACAATTAATAATTGCCATGTAAGGAGGGCATTTAAGAGGATGCAAGTAAAAATTACCTGAATAATGCCTTTTACTCTCCACACTCCATGTTTGAGGACAACAATTTGGGGATCATTAGGGTGTAGTTCCTTAAGTTCCTGCCTAATAGCCTCAATATTTGCATTGTGCTCCGTAGACAACTGAATTGCAGCCATCCCACCGGTGTTGCCGACTTTCCTACCCAACACAGCGCGGGAATCTCCAAGATTTGCCACAAACAGTGTCTGCTGACAAATAACTCCAACCAAACAACACGTTCCAGTAGTGGCAATCTGAGGCCGAATATTCCACAATTCGGAAACAAGGGCTGTGAACCCCTCTTCGGTTCGGAGAAACGCTTGTTGAATGGTCTCAGTCGTCACAACACTCCGTGACTCAGCCAATATCGCTGCACAAACACCAACTCTAAGACATCTAGATAAGAAGCGCTTCTCTATCACAACCAAAAAGAAAAACAACTATTGAGTATTGACCCTTTAACACATAAACAGCACTTTATCACAAAAAAAAAAGAAGAAAGAAGAAAACCGATAGAGACAGAGCTCCAACACACGCATTTTTCAACTGTTCCTGATTCTCGTGAAAAGCAAACTTTTAGATTAAATTAATAAACAAATTAATTAAATTCACGAAAAGCGAACACGCGAAAATCACTGATAACTAACAACAGTTCAAAACTCACGATCAGGAATTGATGTTAACCCTATATAAGAAAGAGAGGGATTGATTTCGGTTTGAATCGTGAACCTTGGAGATTGCGGAACAAGTTATCGCAAACGTATCGCGAAGCATCGGGGCCACCGTGGCCGTCGTAAACGCCGACGAAGGTTCCGAAAGTGCCAGACTCGATCTGGCTCTGGTCTTCGAGGACCTGGTTGGCCTGAACGACGGCCATGGAGAAATCTCCGGCGGCGAACTTTCCGATATCGCGGAACCAAAGCAAACCGTCCTTGCATTCTCTTCCGGCATTGCCTTCGTCACCTTGCCCGAACGGCTTCCAACAGCGAGTGATAAGACTCATCAATGCATGGAGCATCCCACATCTCTCAGAAACCCTAACCCTAAGTCCCCAACACCGGAACCTTTTCCAATGGCGGCGTTGCTCCGAATCGGTATGAGGAAGGAAGAAGGGGGGAGAAGAAGGTAACGGCGTAAAAGGGAGGGTGCGCAGGATAAGAAGGAGGCGCAGGTTAGCAGGAGGTGATGAAGGGAAAGGTAAGGCGTGTGTTCGGTGGTAGAGGAACAGGAATGGGCTCTTTCTTTCTCTTGTTGGGAGAGGATGGTGTGGGGAAGCCCCTTGTTCCGTGCTTTTCTTTTCAATGTCTTCTTTTATTCACAATAACAATACTATTTTTTTTCACTACTTCTCCTCACCCTTCTTATTTTTCTTTCCCTCTTCCTTTCCATTCTAATTTTGGCTTCCTTTCTAATATTTATTTTTTATGATTTTCAGAAAACCCTCATAACAAGTGGAAACTTTTTTATTTGTAATATCACTAGTTTGAATCTTTTCCTCCTCATTCTAAAATCTTTTATTTAACCATCATGTTTGAGGAAATGATCTCATAACTATAATTGGGATGATGTTAATCAAAGGCAAAAAATCCTAACCCCACCTCAATTTTATGTCTTCTTTTAAATATTTTTTGTATCTTTATTAAAATACAAAATTAGAATATCATAAAAATATTACTTATCTTTTAGTTTATTTAACTATGGGATTATTTATGTGAAAAATACGTGAGGTTTGATATAGTAGTAGCTTCAAATCTAAGTATTATAAGGACTTCTAGATTTTGACAACATTTTTTTTACGGCAGATAAGTATTATCTCAAATAAATGCCAAATCAGTGTTACTTATTGTCTAGATTCTCTTCTCCTTTGTCTAAAGAACAAAAATTGAATACAGCATGATAAAATTCTGTGACCCAATTTTATATAAAAGTAAGTGCTATATCTTATCGTATCATTATTTTCTCATTCCAATATAGTGTGAAACATATTTATCTCACCTTTTAAAACAGAAGGAAAATACAACAATTCACAACCATCAACGACTTTGCCTTTTTAAGACCATAAAATGCAACAAGATTTTAAGATCAAGGTCATATATTAGTGGTTAATAAAAGCCCTAAATAAATTTAATTAAGAATTATCAAAATATAAAATTATATGATTGAAAATAAAATGATTTTGAAAATTGACACAATTTGTTCTCTCATTTTAGTTAATAAAATAGTAAAAATTTTGATACGTTAAAATTTAACATCTGAAAAAACTCTACAATCACTTTCAATATAGATATTCAAAATTAAAGTTTGACGAAAATGATGATTAAATTTCATATTTTAATATATAATTTAGCGGATAAAATAATTTAAATTTTTATATTTTGGTCGAAATATAGTGTTTATAATTTTTAAATTAATTTTAATAATTATTTTAAATATTCAATTTTCAACAATATTTGATTGTATTGTAACGGGATAACTAACTTAAAACAAAAATTAAAATTAAAAAATAAATTTAAAACTAAAATTAAGATTACAATATCAAATTACTAATTTTACCTTATATTTTTCATGCAGTGATAATTCCGTAATTTTCTTTTTCACAATTAGCATTGAAATTTTATCCGCATAATGACACTTTTGTAATTTTACTGTAAAAATATGAACATTTTAGTTGAATAGATTATTTTGACTTTTCTATGCACTTGCACGGATCTATTAGAATAATTAATAATTATTATGCATCAAGATCAAATTTTTAACATATAATTATTCGGATTTAAATAGTACACTAAATTTTTATGTCATAGTTATTTTGTACTTATGTAATCAGATATCAATTATTTATTGACTTTAGTAAGGTAGACTCAACATGATCATGCGTGAATATTAAACTAATTAAAAGTAACAAATAAAAAGCTCAAGACTACAATCAAAAGAAATTAGAGTGATATATAATTTTACATAGGACATTTTAAAGTGATGCAAAGTACATAAATCGGAGAATATGGAGCCTTAATTGAATTTATAACAGTACATCATGAATGAATGCCGTTTTATTATCTGCATTTTATAAATAGAGGAGTCTTCTGTTTTTTACCTAATTTCCTAAAAAGAAGTCCAATTCACCAGATCCATTGAATTAAGCTTGGGAAAGTTGACAAATGTTGATAGGAGAAATGCTATTGGTATCACCATTTAAGAGACGCTTGGCAATGATAACATTAGCAGCATCACTAGGATGGTAAGTATCCCAGAAAACATACTTGGATCGATCCTCACACACTTTTGAAATACCATTGCATGGGATCAAGCCTCCAAATCGACCAGCCAGGTGACAGCATGCACTATTCGGATTCTCAAACCCTGTTCCACATTAAAATGGTTGCTTCTTCACAAAGGATCATACAAATTTAGCTACTAAATAAAATAGGCATATTGAGAAGGTAAGAGTTTATTCACTTTAGATTTTAACTTAACTATATTTATAAAATATTTTAATTTAAAGTAAATGTGGATAAAGTTTTACTTCCTTATTTTACACTTATTATTTATTAATTTTTTATTATGTTTCCTCAAATACATGTTAAAAAATCGATTTTTTTTAATGCTTGAAATCTAACCCTTAACAAAATTGAAATGAAAAAAAATAATCTTGAACAGGAAAATAGTGACAAAGACAAACCATATTTATTGTAATTGAGGATGATGTCTTCCATCATATGGTAAACATCTGCATAAACAAATAATGACCCTTCCAGGTTTGTCCTGAGCTCTGCAATAAGGCTTTTCAATTGGGTGTTAAACAATTGGACTAGCTGATTAGGGAAAGTGACACAGTCATCTCCATCATAAGGGTTAAAATCCCTCATATATGGTATGCACCCAATAGGCCCTACATTTGCCACAACAATTTTTCTGGCCCCTAGATTGAATAGCCGCTGCAGATAGTAACATGCACGTGATCAAGGAAGAAAATACAAAACATTTAGAAACTAGGCTTTCTAGGTTCTTAGGAAAATTACAGTGAGCTGTAGTCTGAGTCTTGATATCAAGATGGCCACAAATGATTCAGGAGATACAAACACCCTCTTGGGTATTGAGAATATAGGTGTCAAATAGTTATCTAGGAAATCATTTGAGCCAAGTGCTACTAAAAATAGAGCCTTTTTAAACAAATTGAGAGCCGCTGGAACACCAATTATGGAGATAATTTCCTCCCTGGTGTTTGCAAAGTTATCAATCTGTGCATCAAAGTTGATTCGACCACCCTATCAATGACATGAAGATTCTGCCAATTTAGTATTTAGACAGTGTATAAAGATAATTAACTTTCGGAACATGACAAATACCTGAAATAAGAGTATGGATAACTGGATAAGGCTATTCATATGGATGGAACTAAATCCACCAACTGAATGGTACTAACAAATCAGTTCAACATTGAAATTTGAAGTTTAATGTACTCAACAATTGTGCTTAGAACTCAACCAACATTAGTTGAAGCAAAAACTTACGAAGATTTCGCCAGAGTTATTAAGAATTCCACCTGCTCCAGAGGCATAGTTAACACCCTTTAGAACCACTGGTCCGGAAGTAGTGGGAGCCAAGTAAGGAGGACTAAAGTCAAGACCCAGTTGCTGATCTGGTAGTACACAATGCCCAAAGAGAAATAATAATTGATAAAATAATTTGTTTTAAATGATAGAACCCAGCGGAAATTAGCAATTCTCACTTATAATATCGACAACAGTTCTTCCATTGCTGAAACGACCGGTGGGCATTCCAAAATCAACTCCGTAAGGGTCATGATTTGCTTTGGCCAGTGAAACGATATAGTTGTTGTTCCCCACATCAAGTAGGGAATCCCCAAATACAAAAGACGCTGGAATATTCATTGAGAAGCTAATCCTGAACAAGAACAGCACCATAAGAACTCGAACCATATTCGCAATAATGATTATTCTGTTCAAATAAATAACCATCAGAAAGGACACTACAGAAATTGAATTCGATCAACTTTTCAAGAAGGAGCCTCTCTGTCTTGTTCTGTTTTTCTGCTCAAAGATGGGACATACAATGAGTGTTATATTGTGCAGAAGATTAAGGAAGAGTATTCAAATAATGGCCAGTAACTGTTACTCTTGTTGAAGCACATAATGGACCCACCAAGAAATTTGATGATATTGAATACAAGTTGTGTGAACCGTGTGAAGAATGAGCTTAATTTTTAACCATTCTAGAAAACTAGCTTTGAACACTGCTATCTAATAAAACAATCTTCAATTTATTCATTATTTAGTATCAAAATCTCTGTACACGTCACACATCGTGAGTATAAAGGCATTACCCGTGAGGGAAACAATTTAGTCAAATAAATTAATAAGCGATTACGATAACTTCAGGCCTTAAAATTTAATTTACGCATTTAAATTTAATATTTTTTTTATTAAAATACATTTATTATATTATAATTATAGAAGTAGAATGAAGATTATTTGTAATAAAAAGGAAGAGCATTGTACTCAAATCAGGGTAGAAAACAATCATTTTGCATCAACACTGACAAATTTAGTAGCCATTGGTACTTAGAGTTTGTGGAAACGCATACAAGATTGTAAATTTATTGACGAATTTAAAAGAGCCTGGTAGTGAAGCAATTATATAAGTACTATCTGTTTTTTGTGATACAAGAGTAAGTTAGTTCCGATTCCAAGTTGAAAATTTGTTGAATTTATAAAACATTTGCATTAGCATTAGCGTTTCCATGAGCTTTAGTTTAATTTGCAGCGATTAAAGGATAAGAATGAATCAACAAAAGCTATGGGAATTTTAAAAATCTAAAATTTATCAGCTAAATCATCACATAATTTTTAACTTTTTATATACAAATCTTGATATGATCCTTAAGATCATCTTTAACGGTAGAACTCCCTCATTGACATATACTCACAAAAGTAATGAAAAACAGAGCGAGACTCATTTTTTAATGTTTATAATATGTGTATATATGGGAATATCTTTATAGCTACAGTTGCTGTAACATTATATTGAAATATCTGTACAAATATAATGGTTCCTAATATTGCTAAAATCAGAAAATAGTTTAGAATGATTTAGTTATATCAGCTAATATGTAAATACTTAGCTATAATAGGAATGTTGTGGCGTGAATGATGAAAGGACTAGTAGGGTAGGTAAACTCCAACAACGCAATGAATCCAATGCCGGACGTGGAAGAGGCACCGTGGAATATAATTATTGTTTTCTGAGAAATTGAGGTAAAAATGCATATAATACCCGGTTAAACTTGCTCTAAAAAAATTATCATAAATAAATTGTGAACTTTTTGTTTGTTGAATCTCTAGCATTACTAGTGATTAAAGTACCATGATCACTTGCAATATTAATTATGACTTTGATTTCAAACCTTACTGCTTTCAAAATCTCATCCAATCCCATTTAAATTTTTGGTTATGAATCCCAATTTATTCTGCAATACGTGAGAAATGTCATAAATATACCTCGATCGGAATGGAACTATTGAAATAACAAAGAATTCTCAGATCGAGTTACTATCAATGGTAAATACATCTTTGATGTGCTAATTTGTTCTCCTAAAATTAGAATAAGATTTGCATATTTTGTATAAAACTATTACCATTTACAAACATTTGTGCGTATTATTTTTGGTGTCAAGTGAGCCTGACTTCAATTATTCAAAAGCTGGCTACGTGTCCATTGTCAGTGAATGAAGGAACGACCATTTTAGAGAAGGAAGGCATGGGTGAACTAAGGGTAAGTTTGTTTATATATAAAAAAAATTATGAATATATCACTTTATTGTTAGTTTTTATTATATTCATGATTTTTGTTAAGGAAATATAGAAGTAGTTGTTTTATTTTATTCAACAACTACGTTGTTTTTAAGATTTGGATCTGCTACGGCTGTCCATCTCTGCAGCAAAATTTCAGTCGTTCAAATTTCATCCAAAGATTATAAAATATTATAATATTTTATCATTAATTAATAATGCATTTAACTTTAGATAAGTTTTTGGCTGGAAGGAGCTGCATGATGCAGAGGATCTATTTTATTATTTTTATGAGTTTAAAATGGAAATAAAAAAATAATTAAATAAAAATAAAAATTTAATATTTTATAAAAATTTTCAAAACATTAAAAATATTGAATGCCTTTTTATTTAATAAATAAAAATTATTCGCAGAAAATGTTATAAAAGGATTAAGAACTATTTATTAATATACCATATAATATTTCATAATTTTTTATTATTTGACAGAAATTTATTTGAAGTCATAAATTTAAATAATAATAATTAATAAATTAAAAATGTGCTAAATAATATGTTGTTCATTCTTCTTTCTATCGTGTTTGAAAAAGATAATAAACTTCGACTTTGATTCTAAAATAAGACAAACGTGAAAATCTTTAAGAAATATAGATTGGATCCTAGGATGAGGGTATAAGGCGTATTTGACAATAGATGGGATCCGCTCATACTATCAATATGATATAATCATATCATAGATAAAAAGATGCAAATTTAATTAAATTTAATTAGTGGATCTTATAACTAATCATAAAGGGTCCTTATTAAAAACCTGATTATATTATATTAATTAACAACAAATACAAATTAACACTAACTACATCAGTCAATAAACATATTGAACACAAAATATAATCCATCAAACATTCATAACAGCAGAAGAATCAGGTCAAATAATTAAAGAGTTGGCGAACATTCATTGGAAAAATGTCATTATGATCACCATCTAACAGTCGCTTAGCAATGATAACATTTGATGCCTCAGTAGGATGCCAAGGATCCCAAAACACATATTTTGATCTATCCCAACAAACTTTTGATGTTGGACCACAAGGAATCAAACCTCCAAAGCGCCCAGCCAAGCAACAACAAGAGGAATATGGGTTCTCAAAACCTGTCACGTTTAAAACCAAAATATAATTTTCCAATTAGTTCATAAAAACCATGCAAAGTTAAGGTACTAGTAGAATAACTGCTACATCAGACACACACCATAAGCTGTGTAATTGTTGAGTATATCATCTAAAATGTGGTAAACATCTGCATAAACAAACATTGAACCCTTCAGATTTGAGCTTAGCTCTGCTATAAGGCCCTTCAACTTAATGTTATATAACTGTGCTAGCTGATTTGGGAAAGCGACACAGCTATCACCAACAGCTAGGTTCGTATCCCTCTGACTTGGTATACACCCAATAGGCCCCACATTTGTCACAATAATTTTCCTTGCTCCGAGATTGAAAAGCCTCTGCAGATATATTAATGTTAATATGCATAATAAGTGACCCCAAAACTTATAGAAGAATAATGCTACATCCTTCTGTAATGTTTTCTTGTTAACCTTGTAATTTTCAATGTAGTTCAACATAATATTTAATAAGAGTTTTTTATTTTCAATTCCTTAACTGGTGCCATTAGCAAGATCTTATAAGAATTGTTCTAGAACATTTGGAAACAAGGTGTTCAGAGAAAGGAACATTACAGTGAGCTGTTCTCTGAACCTTGAAATTAAGGTGTCCACAAAGAGTTCCGGAGATCCAAATTTCTGCTCGTAAATTGAGACTGGTGGTGCTAAATAGTTATTAATGAAATCGTTCGAACCTATTGTCACTGAAAAGATTGACCTTTTGAATAGATTGAGAGCCGCAGGAACACCAATGTTGGAGATTATATCTTGCCTGGTATTAGCAAAGTTATCTAACTGTGCATCAAAGTTGATTCGACCACCCTATAAATCACACATGCACGTTGTTACTATTTCCCTTAAGTTTCACCAAAGCTTAAATAACAACTAATGAAACAGAAACTCACAAAGATTTTTCCAGTGAAGTTGAGGATTCCACCTCCACCAGAAGCATAGTTCACACCCTTCAAAACCACTGGACCAAGTGAAGTAGGTGCCAAGTAAGGAGGAGTAAAAGAAAAACCATTAGCTAGTTCCTCACCTGGTGGTGCATGATAAAGTCATTATACAAATTGAAAAAAAAAAAAAGAACATAAGTTAAATAATAATAATAATAATAATAAGGTTGTTACACTTACCAATAATGTCAACAATGGTTCTTCCATTAGTGAACCTTCCTGTTGGTCTTCCAAAATCAATACCAAAGGGTGGAAAATTGGCCTTTGAGAGGGAAACAAGGTAATTGTTGTTCCCCACATCGACAAGAGAATCTCCAAAGACAAAATTTGCGGGTGGTTCATCTGAAGTGGTGGAAATACTAGACAAGGCCAAACGTATAAAAACAAGAAACAAAATCTCAATAATGACTGGTCTATTCAACTTGATACCCATTAGAAACATAAAATAAAATAGAACAAATAATGAATGCAATGAAGTTCTGAAGCAGGGTTCCTCTGTTTTTGCTTTATAACTACTAGAAGGTGAACAAGAGCATAAGAAAATGATTGCTGTTTGATAATGCTAACTGGGTAATATATAACTTTTCTAAGGAACTGTTCAATGAGGAAAGAGAAAGGTCAACGTATGGAGGGAGGCATCATTGAAGGCTCTTTTCAGGACAGCAAATCTGTGTGTAAACCACCTTTCATAAGAAAAGTATTTTTGTTAAAAATTATAATATTTAGTATCATTAATGTTTTGAATAATATGATATTTTATAATTTTTAATAAAATGTCATTATAATTTAAATTTATTTAAAAAAAATTAAATAAATTTAAACTTGATAAAATAATTTTGGTAATTGTTCACTAGTTAGAAGAAAAGTAACTTCAGAGAAAAGCTATACAAAATTATTACAGTTTTCTGGATTTTTTAAAACTCTTTCAGAAACTGATGAAAATAATTACCTCTTAATAACTTGAGTTTTTATTTCTAAAGAGAATGCAAACTAGTCTCCTTAAAATAATGGTTAAAAAAATAAAAAAAAATATAACAAGTATAACATTTAAAATCATTAATATACTTCTACTATGAATTCCAGCAAACATTTTCTGTATTCATTATGACCCATTTTCTATCTAGGAACTTTAATAAAGAACACTAAAGTTTCTGTGCAATACTAAGAAGTCCGTGTATGGCTTACCAATCTACTTAACATTTTTAAAAATATTTTTCAACCATCAACAGAAATCAGGAGGTTGTGGAAAATTCAAAACCACCGGATTTTCACGTTTCCGCAATTAAATGTGCTCTAGCCTCTAGCTCAAAGAATAGTATGAAACAACTAGGAACTTGACAGGGACTTTCCCCGTTTTGTAATTTCATTACTGCTTTTATATATCAGATAACCTGCCAACTTGCCATCCCTTTTCAGATTTCTGCATGGTGCACAGCATATGGCAGAGATGTTCAACATAAGGCTTACCATAATAAATTGCAGCTATCAGAAATGATCGATATATAAAGATGTAATGTATAACATATATAGCCAACTATGATATATAAACACCCTCACAGTGTTTTTTTTTATTTTATTTGGAGAGTCTATACCTTCAGAGATAACAAAATTAATTTATCTAATGCATGTTTCAAAACATTTATCATTAACTAGCAAGGTTGAAGTAAATAAAATTAAGTTTGAGTAACCCACCCATAAACAATGTAAATACAAAGCACTTTTATTTGTATATTCTTTGATTTAACAGTAAATTCATGTTAGTTTAAACTTCAATCTAACGTGACATGGTGTAATAAGAAAAGAGAGATAAATAGTAACGAAAGATGTCAAATGAGTAATGATATTCTTTGGGGTATTTATATATCATAAATACATATAGTTTTATATAGGAGTTGAACTTGAACATGCCCAATCGTGTCATCGCATGCATAAACGCGTAAACGTGAGTATCGGTGGCAATAGAGTTTAAAATCTGTTACTAAAAAATAACATATAGAACTTCAAAACATGTTCAGAAGTCCGTGAAACATTGTCATCAACACTTCATTATTGTTTAGGCGCTGCAAGTCAGTAAGGTATGGGCTTGTGCAGAAAAAATAACTGCGGGTAGTTTAACTCTTTAATGCAGAAAAACAGTGATTTTATTCCACGTCTTATTAACAACTACTCCTAACATGACATTACAAAATACAGACTGGTGAATGTATGCATGAAACAAATACTCTCAAAACACAGTTATGTATTGCAGAGATTAGATTTCATTCATATTCACCTATTTTCATCTCCTTCATTCAATTTTTTTCAGTGATGATTTGATGGAGCAAAATAATTGGGGAGATATAGAAATCATTTAAAGCGTAGTTGTTCTATCTTTTTTTCAAAAAATATATATCGTTTTGATTGAGAACTTCGAAATGTATCTCATATAATAATGTAGGAAGTGTTTGTGTTGTCATAAATAAATTATTCCAAAAGCTTTAATAAGATCTTGTATTATGAGGTCAAAATATGAAAAATGATATTGTATTACATATTTAACGCATCCCTTGAATTAACTAGAAAGAAAAATTGGCAACAATATTATGATTAAACTCTAATAACCACAAGAAAATGAAAGCTTTAATAAGACAGTTTAAGTATATATATATATAAAGACACTTTATATTTAAACTTTAAGCATATTTTAATCTTCGCCCTCCATATTGAATGAGTATTTATCTGTGCGTTGTGGCTCACCTTACACGCATTTAAACGAACATAACTCTTTGATGAAAATTGAAGACTCTTTAGTCTAGTAGTGAACATTTACTTTATTTTCTCTATTATATATATATATAGAGAGAGAGGTGAAGAATCTTCTTCTACTATTGAAGTATAAATTTTTTTTACATTCGATATAAATTTTTTATTTAATTCTGACGGTTAATAAAATAATAAATTATAATATATTAGATATAAATTAAATGAAAGACATATTAATGCATATCAATATAATACTAAATATTTTTAGATAAATATAAAATTTTATAAATATAATTTATATGATAGAGTTTTTTAATTTAAAATTTAATTTTTTGAAATAATTAATTAACAAAATATTAAATAGTGTAAAAACAATTTTACTTTAATTAGTGTACATAAATCAAAATTCATGTATATGTGAAAGAATGAAGGACCAAAATTATGTTATTGGACGTTATATTTTTATTTATTATTAGCATATTGATGACACTACGTGCATGTCAGTTGGTATATTTTATTTTTTATTAAATTTAATTTAATAAAGTATGTGAACGAAATTATAATTATATGATGAGAAGTTAAAAGTTAAACACATCTGTGCTTGAAAAATAAAAATTATCTACAATTTCATATTTTTTATATTTAATTTTCTATGAATGATAAGATAATAATATATTCATGATATCTTGTTTCATATAATATAATGTATGAATATTTTTAAATTTAAGAAAAATTTTAAAATATTATTATATATATATATATATATATTATAAGAGATAAAATTATCACTAATTTATTGTTAAAAGGATGGTGTAATTTCATATATAAAAATGAAGAAAATTAAATAAATAATGCATTTATTATTAATAGTTAAGTATATATTTTTATTAGATATGACGAACTAACGAGATAAAAAAAATTGAGATAAAAACTATGAAACCAATTTTTTATATTAAATTTTTTTTTTGGTATAATGAAAAAAAATCATTTGAATTCAGATTCATAATATCTATGTCTATTTATTGATATAACTTGTTTAAATTTAAGGTTTAAATTATGATTGATTTAACTTCAGATATTGTAATTAAGAAGAATAAATAAAATAAAATAATTAATGCAATTGAAGTTGTGTGAGAAAAAAGAATATATCTTAAAAGTAATCTCATTTTAAAAATAAGTTTTCAAATTTTCAAAGAACCTAACCTCATATAGGGGTTGATATTTATAATTTCATCCTTTTGTAGATTTTATAGTTTTAAATATATAATTATTAATAATAAAAATTTCTTCTATAAATATTTAAAAATATAAGATAAAATGAAAAGAAAATTTCGTTTATGTAATTAAAATAAAAAAATAATTTTTTCAAACCAAACAACTTCGTAATTTTACTTAAACCAATTTTCATGACCTGCATACAACATTAAGATTTAGGTTGAGAATTGAAATTGAATGAAACTGATCCAATTTGGATACAGAAATATGTAGAAGAAAACATTGGGGAAAATAAAATGCAATGCTGATTTGGGCCAAGATGGCTAATTTTCAACCCGAATAAAAAATTAAGCCTAAACAAAGCGATATAATTCTTTTTTTTAATATATAGGTAAAGTATATATTATTAGAAAAAATTCTAAGAAAACTCAAAATCCATATATATATAAAAAAAAGTTAATATTTATTCAGAAAAATAAAAAATAAAAACATACTTATACATAACTAAGACAAATGTAATTTTATGAGTTCAAATATCAATCAGCTAACAAAATAGATTTTTCTTTACTAACAAGTAATAGTCATTTTCAGGACTTCAGAATAATAGAATCTATGACTTTTCTTTCATCCAAAACACCATTGAAAAACACAATTTAATTTTTATGTAACTACAAAAATTATATTATACTTACTCAAACAATTAATAAATATATCTCTTTTCTTTTACTACAACTAACACCAACTAAAAAAGCAAGTAAGTCAATAAATTCTCACTAAAACTATTAAGAATCCAAATCAACGCGCAATAAAGTACCAGATGAAATAAAGCGATCTAATTCTACCCAAATAATTTGGATTTATTTAGAAGAATGATGTTACTTGTTTTTGGGGGATGATATTTTAAAATTATATTATATTCATGTTTGCATTTTTTTCAAAAATTTATTTGTAGGAATATATATGATTATAAGACAAAAATATCTCTAGCAAAAATAATAATAAAAATCCCCCTCGTTACGCAATACTCATTCTTATGAGATATCAATCATTTTCGTAGGAATAAATTGTACCAACTTTTCTGTCCATGATAATAAATTGATGGGAATAATACTCAAAACGTATTTCTTAATTACGCTAAAAGGTACATTTGAATAATCATCCAGTGATGATGAACAAAATAAATAACAAAATCATCTATCACTCGTCTTCGTGCCATATATTAATCTTACCTTAATTGGTTTTGTCAAACAATCTATCTGGTGACATTAACAAATATGTATAAAGTTTAATATTGATCATGTCGCTATTATGATATTAAGTGATAAATAAGCCTGTTATTGTTAAATATCACACTTTACCACAGTTTATATATATATATATATATAAAAAGAGAAACATAAAATTATCAGCATCGCTATACGTATTGATTATTTTGTATCCTCATACGTCATGAGTTACTTTTAATCTTTCATTAATTTAACCCCAAAGTGGTAAGTGAAAACAAACCACTTGCAACATGCAACTAAAATAAAGGAACTTCTGGACATCCTCCAATATAGAGAGAATATCGTAACCAACCCTTGTCCTTCAATTCAGTAACGCTAAATTTTTACCTTCCTAACATCTTAACTCCAAAAATAAAGAAAGCCCTTAGCACTTAAGAACCTCCTATTTGCCATACTCGTGCCTCACGCAAAAGCCACGAAACCCAAATTCTTATTCACTGCACATTCTCACCCCCAAAGACATGGATTATCCATCGTGGTCCTCTTTGCATGCTTCAACATTCATCATAGTGGCAATTCCCATTTTCTTATTGTTTTGCATGCCATTTTGTGCTCATGCCCTTGATGCACAAACGGTCGCTGACTCTCCTTTGTTAACACAAAAGTTGGGAATTAATCGCACTATCAAAGTAGATATCAATGGTGATGGAGAGTTCGCATCTATACAAGCTGCCATTGATTCCATTCCCGAAGGAAATTCTAATTGGATCATCGTCCATGTTAGGAAAGGAGTATACAGGTATTTATTTGTGTGTGTGTGTATATATATATATATATATATAATTGTTATCAAAAAGAGTGTTAATTAATTATATGATGGTCTTAATTAACTTGCTGTTTTCTTTTTTAATCTTGCGAAGAGAAAAGGTGCACATACCAAAGACTAAGCCCTTTATATTCTTGAGAGGGAATGGAAGAGGAAAAACTGCCATAGTTTGGTCTCAAAGCTCTTCTGACAACAAGGCTTCTGCTACCTTCAAAGCCGAAGCCTCTGACTTCATTGCCTTTGGAATAAGCATCAAGGTCAATTCTTAATACATTCTTGAAACTTTGCAACCAACCTATTCCTATTCATATACAGTATTTAATTATTGTGATTTTAATATTTTTCCTCTAAGCCACATGGAAAAAAAATTTAAACAAACTTCTTGCAGTAAAGGTTGTTGTGGGTTTTTTTTTCCCTCAAAATACATTAAATTTTGATTTTGGACTGTATAATTTTTTCTTATTTTATTTCTTTACATTTTAAAAAATCATTGAATTTGGTTCTAGCTATTTTTCGCTAAACAACGGTGTGACTAACTAAAATGTTGTTGTGTGTCAATTTTTTTGTCACTTATTGACTTTGACAACAGTGTGACTAACTAAAACGTTGTTGTGTCAAAATTTAGGTCACTTATTGACTTGGACGCAACATCCGCAAAACAGACTAAAATTAATAATTTCTAATGATACAGGGACTAAAAAAATTATTTTTATAAAGATCAAAACAAAAATTTGATATATTTTGAGAAAAAAATTGTTTAAGATTATTATCATTATTGTGAAAATAATTAAATTTTTGCACTTATTGCAGAACGAGGCACCTACAGGGGTTGCCTATACCTCGCAGAATCAATCGGTGGCAGCTTTTGTGGCAGCAGACAAAGTGGCATTTTATCACTGTGCATTTTACAGTACTCATAACACACTCTTCGATTACAAGGGTAGACATTACTATGAGTCCTGCTACATTCAAGGCTCAATTGATTTCATATTTGGACGTGGAAGATCGGTCTTCCATGTAAGTTAGCTGCATCTATCCTATTATTAATTGAATTATTGAGTTAACATGGCACCCATTATGAATCACATACATTAATTTCCATACAGAGCTGTGAGATATTTGTGATTGATGACAAAAGGATAAGCATTCATGGGTCAGTCACAGCTCAAAACAGGGAAAGCGAACCTGAGATTAGTGGCTTTATTTTTATCAAAGGCAAGGTTTATGGGGTTGGTGGGGTGTACTTAGGAAGGGCCAAGGGTCCTTATTCTAGGGTCATTTTTGCCCAGACATATCTCTCCAAGACCATTGTCCCGGAGGGGTGGACCAATTGGAGCTATGCTGGTAGCACACAGTAAGAAAATCACCGATTCAACTTCTCCTTAACATACATTATATATGTTCAAAATATTTTAAGTACGAATTCACTTTCTATTTTCTTAATTTAATCTTAATTAAATTAATATCTTAAATTTTTTTAATTTAAAAAATTCTAACTCTTGATTATCTAACAAAATAAAGTATTTATAAATATACTTACAAAATTTTATTATAATTTAACAATAATTATACAATGTAGAGAAAAGGTACTAATTATACCAATTAATTGTGTGGCAATTAATGAAAATTGTAGAAATCTTTACCATGCTGAGTACAAGTGCCATGGACCTGGAGCCATTACGGAGGGACGCGCTTCTTGGTCAAGGCAGCTATCAGACGAGGAAGCTGCACCCTTTTTATCTATTGATTACATTGATGGCAAGAATTGGTTGCCAGTATGGCTATGATCTCAAGTTATGCAAAAGCTCCTTCTATGGCAAATGATGGACGTAGATGTTAGAGACATGCAGCTTCTTATTGTGTTTTGTAAAAGCTGGATTATGCACCCACTCTGTTGTCACGCCATGGCTGCTTTATAGTACTTCAGATTCATGTCTAGCTAGTTTTTAGGAAGAATCCAAGTTTTTAAACAAGTGTTTTAAAGGTAGGTACGCAAGTGGCATGCACCTGTTTGTTTTCTTTGGGTTTGCTAATATTACGCAAGTTATAGTTTGCATTAAACCGGAAACATCTACTTAAGGTGTTTATTACTTAATTATGCTGTGGACTGCTTTATACTAGCAACTTAACTGCGGTAGGCATGACCCATGTTCGTGTAAATATAGTAAGAAGTCAAAACTAAACAATTATGATATGTAGAACACTGGTTAAAATATTTTAAAAAATTATTACTAATATTATTAAATGCACATTCACGGTGATTTTATGTAGAATCCCATTAAAAAAAAATACTTATTTATTAATTTCTTATTCAGTAGTGATGGAAATATACTAATTAACAAGATGATAATAATAATAATAATAATACTCATGTTTATGTCATTAATTTATATTAACTTATTGATAACGATGAATAAGCTAGCTCGTTGACTTATTTATATTATTTTTTATATATATATAAATATATATATCAACCTATTAGTATCTATTTGTCTCGTCACCACCACCATGCTCACCTCCAACTCCTCCAAATTCACCACCTCCATTTTTGTCACTTGTACTAACTCCAACTCCACCTTCACCTTTACCACCTCCAAAGCCCCCACCAACACCACCTCCAGCTCCGCCACCTGCCCCAACTCCGCCTCCAAAGTCCCCACCAGCACCTCCTACGCCTCCACCTTTACCACTTCCTGAGCCACAACCACCTCCACCTCCACCTCCTGCACCTCCTCCTTTACCACCTCCTGAACCACCACCTCCACCTCCTGCACCTCCTCCTTTACCACCTCCTGAGCCACCACCTCCACCTCCTCCTTTACCACCTCCTGAGCCGCCACCAACACCAACACCACCTCCAACTCCGCCACCCGCCCCAACTCCACCTCCACCTCCACCACCACCTCCACCTCCACCTCCTCCTTTACCACCTCCTGAGCCACCACCAACACCACCTCCAACTCCGCCACCCGCACCAACACCACCTCCAACTCCTCCACCCGCCCCAATTCCACCTCCACCTCCACCTCCTGCACCTCCTCCTTTACCACCTCCACCTTTGCCGCCTCCAAAGCCCCCACCAGCACCACTTCCACCTCCTCCTTTACCACCTCCTGAGCCACCACCAAAACCACCTCCAGCTTTGCTGCCTCCAATAATGCCCCCTCGAGTACCGCCTACCCGTCCACCGTTACCACCTCCTCCGCCACCTATAACTCCTCCGCCAATGACACCACTAACACCACCTCCAACACCACCCCCTCCTTCAATACCACTTCTGTATCCACCTCCAAAGCCCCCACTAGCACCTCCTTCTACACCACCACCAAAACTACCTCCTTCAATGTTGTCAATTAATTTATCTTCTGTGATTTTTTGGCATTTAACTATCATTATTCGCAATAAAAATAACAGAGCAAGTGTTCCAACATAATAACGTAATTTCTCCATCTTTGAACGATCAAAGAAAAATAAAGACAGAAATGCTTGCTTTACATGTAATTTGAAAGCTAGCAAGGAGTAGTATTTATAATGGAAGGCACAGTAGTGCCATTAATAAATGTGGTTGAGATCTTTTATTCATTGTAATATTGGTGCTGCCCATAGTGCTGGTCGAGAATTTTCTTATTCCATTCCATGCTTGACACCTAACAATCTAGATAGATGAAACAACAATATCTGCTAGCAAAATTTACATAACACTAAGCTTTTAAAATAAGAAGAATGCTAATATATATCACAGACTTTCTTAATGTATTTTTAATTACTAAGTCAAATCTATACATAACTTATTCAATTATGTAATTAATTATTTTATATAAAATTCACTTAATAATAAAATTATATTCAAAACTATGTCGTTATTTTTCTCTTTTAACCAATAACTTTTGATCAGAAGAAAATAAGAATTAATTAAATACAAATTATATTATAATTGGATATTATTTCCAATGCTCACATTTAGTATTTCTATTTTTTTTTAAATGTTCAAATTAAGTCTTTCAACTCAAATTAAGATTTTTTATTATATTTTATTTAGTATTTTTATTTAAATAATTTATATATTTTTACTTTATTTATTTATATAAATCAACAATATGTCATACCTTAATTATATTTTTATTAATTATTAGATAAAATTTTAGGATGAAAGACTTAATTTTAATATTTAAAAATTAAAAATATTAAATGTGAGAATTAGAGAAACCAAAATTGTACATACATTAAATTAAATTACAGTACAGGATCAAAAGTGCGACCTTTATATTATATTTGGATATGAATTGATTTCACTTGATTGAATTTCAGTTAATAAGTTAAGAAACTTGGATAAAGGTCCTAAACTTCAGGTTAAATTTTAAGTTGAACTGTACCAGTTAGCAGCATTTTCCATTTTATTACCAAACTAACATATGTAAATAGTAAACTATGAACTGGTTTGGATAAGTTTTGGTAAAAGAAATTTATACATGAGAAGTATAAGGAAATTAATAAAAGTCTTCTCATAAATTTTATATATATATATATATATACTTCATGTTTTGAATAAGTTAAACATTTTTTTAAATAAAGAAAATAAATTAATTTTAACTTATAAAGCAGTTTAATTTATTTTTTTATTTTTATCTTTTATAAATATTTTTTTGAAAAGTTAATTCATACTGAATATGTACTTAAAATAAAAAGTTACTTTTGAGGGTTTATTTTTGAAAAAGATGTATTAAGCAGCCAAATGAAGAAGTACTCACATCGTAGAATTAGCCTAATCTGTGTTTGAGTTATAATATTTTCACACCCTATTAAGTGGTGTAAAATTGATATTGAAAAGAGATTAGAAAAACATAAGAAAAATATAAATGTTTTAATGAAAAAAATTGAAAGAGTGAATTAAATAATAACAAGTTCGAGGACCAAAGCAATCATCAGATAGTAGGCAAGTGTTCCAAGTTATCTTCAGTGATTTCCTATTATACATTATGACGGCAACTAGACAAAACATATGATTACATGCATAATTTTATTTTCCAAAGAGGCAATAATTTGGAATCATTACCCTTCTATATACACTCTACCATAAGATAGCTACGATCAAACCAGCATGCCACATTTGTTAACAGATTTGTTGGCCGAGGATAGCACAATCAGTGGATAACCTATGAGGGAAGACCACATACAGAAGTATGGTCAAGTTGAAAAAGATCGGGCAAATGCATTTGGGCAAGTGGAAGTGAGTGGAACAATGCCATTGGCCCTTCTTTGCAAATGGAGGCAACCGTATATGGTGGGCTCTTTCACATTGTTGATGGCATCCATACATGCCTCTTAACAATATTAAGGACTAGCCATGATGTCTTTATCAATGATTTCACCAATGTAAATACTCAATACATTACAAAAAAGAATGGTAGATTCTTTGGTGCCCTCCCTGTATGGTACAACATTATAGGTTCATCTTAAATAGTATTAATAAAGAGACATTGCAAAAATACCCTCTTGAAGAGCTTTTGATAACTTTAAAATTTTAAGCCCTCACTACAATAAATATAAGATATTATGACAGTTTTATTGGGATAGTTTGCTCAAACTATCGTCGCTTCTTTTTTATACGTGAATCTTCCCCTCGCGCATCTCTCCCTCACATATCAATTCATCAGGGTCTGCAAAGTGAGTCAGAATTTCTATTTCATGGGGACAAAGGTATCATCGTGTAAAGGTTAAAATATCGTTCTTTATTGTCTTTTTGTTCTCTTCCACATCAATACCAATCTACTACAAGAAAGGCAAGTTAAAGATGGCTTTCAGCAAGAAAAATGACAATAAAAAAGAAAAAGTAATAAAACTAGAAGGAAATAATGACCTATTTGCAGCTAAATAAATAAATAACTTCTGTGTATAAGAGAATAACTCACAGTGAAAGAGAAGTAGTCGTACACGATGGTAGCGGCCACCCTAGGATCAGTTTCTTTCTTTTAAACTTTTTAAAGGATTTTTTACATTAAGAAAAATATGAAAAATATTTTTTACGATAAAAAATATTAAATTAATTAAAACTACTTTTTTTTATTTTTTTAATTCAGTTTAATTTGGATGCGACCTAGGTCATGTACTTAAATGTAGTGTGTAAATTTATCATTGAAGATTTTTTATATACATAAAGACTTGAACTCAAAAACTTTACTTAACAATACCAAACTGCTTGTCATTTCAACCAACTTCCGTTACTAATTAAAATTATTTTATTGATTCACTGTTTAAATATATATTAAATTATTGTGGCAAGCACTAAAAAAATCTATATATATTATATAAAATATAATCTATTTTTCTGATTTTTATAAATTTTATGCTGGTGTAAGACAACAAATATGCATGCTAAGCATTGTTATTATTTTTTTCAATTTTCTTCTTATAATAAAATATGTACATGTAATTTATTTTAACTAAATTGGTACTCTCTAATATGTTTTTTTCACGTGTTTTAATTATAAAAGGTTCATGTTCAATTTAAATTTCATTCACTAATTGTCTATATTTTATATATAAGTGATAAAATATATCTTATTTCTCTAAATATTAATAAGTTAATTTCTCTCACTTTTAAAGTTTAAATTGATTTAAATTCCTCTTATCTCATATACGTGAATAAATATGATTGTATAGCATATAAATGTTAATTGGAAATTCTTAATTTATATTTAAGTGATATGCATATAATAGTAGTTATAAGTAGAATAATTTTTATATATTTACTTTCATCCCCTAACTTTATGTTTTTTTATGTTTATTTTGTCTTTTTCTTCTTTTTATTTGTCTTTTAATTATTCTCTATTTCAATTTATTTTTTATTTTTAATTTTTAATTTTGATTTTGTCTATTAAATTTTAAATTTTAATTAAATGATTCAATTTTTTAATCATATAAATTAAATAATAATAATAATAATAAATATAGTTAAATATACTTAATATAAACGAGTTTATTTGATTTGATATTTAAAATTTAAAAATCTAAGATAAAAAATAAAAGACTAAATGAAAAAATAGAGACCAAAATAAAATAAAATAAAATGAATTGAAAAATAAAATTAGAGGATTATAATTTTAATTTTTTTAGGTAACCCAATCCAACTTACATTTCGATATGAGTAAAAAATAAATTGACTCAGGGCAACCCACCCACCAATCATGAGTTAGCTCATCAAATTTAAAAATTATAAAAAATAAAAAATTATTCATTATCAATAATGATTTACTAAATGAATTTTTTATATTGTTTAATATTTATTCTAACCTTGAACAAACATGATCATGACTTTGGAGTACACTATATTTATTGCTCTCTCATTTGCATGTACTATATATATATATATAGTTCATGACCAACAATATTATTTGATTTTAAGTGCTTTCTTTCGCACCTTCTCGTTACAATTGTTTCTTTTTATCTAAATTCCTCCTGTTTGGGTGTTAGAAAAGGGGGCAAGATAGATTGAGAGATAAAGGATTCTTATAATCATCTTGATTAATTCATTTTAAATTATATTATTTGGTATATATATTTTTATATGAAATTTTTGTTCCCTTTTTTGTTGGGTTCAGTCCCTTTTTCTTTTTTAATGTGAGGGAGGTGGGTTCTTCATAGCTATATATATATATATATATATGGTGCTTAGGTTTGATGGGTCATCAACGACCCACATTTTTCTACTATGGTTTTCAATGATGGCGGCAGGAGTTATGGCATGGAAGGAGCCTCAAATAATTCTACAACTTAAAACTAGTTTTTAATTAAGTTAAAAAAAATATATAAAAATATAAAATTTATCAAATTATTTAAATTTATTTATAAATATATTATTTTAGCTTTTATTTTAAACTCGCTTTTTTTTTTTTTATCTTAGGGTATATGAGACCAAAAATAAGAAAAAGATTAAAAAAATATAAATAATGTGATAAAAATATTAAAAAATAAAATTAATATAATTATTGTTATTAAAATTGATCAATTAGTGAAGATGTATGTATTGATAGGTTTGGTGAAATATTAAAATTTATTGATAAGTAATGTATTATCCAAGTGTTTTTTGGGCATTGGACTTAAGGTTGGGTTGAGGCCCATGGATCAGGGTGGAAGGTAGATAAATGGGAACGATAGAGCTAGGGCGCAGTGGTAGAAGTGAGTGAGAGAGAAGAGAGAAGCCATGGAGGGTGGAGAAGAAGGAGTAGAGATGTTGGTTGACTCTCACTCGAAGGACTTGCAGCAACAGAGCAAAGCCTTCGACAAACTCACCGATCGCGTCGAAGATCGCCAACTCGATTCCACTCGCGTCCAAGAAGCCATGGCTTCCATCGCTGCTTCTGCCGAAGCTGATCGCAACGCCATGCGCATCAGGTTCTTTTTCTTTCAATTCATAGGGAGAGAGCATTTGAGATTCCTTAATGTATGAAGCATGACTATGATTTGTTTACCTTTTCTCTCTAAACCCTAGTCTGCATTTTGATTTTATCACAGAGAGAAAGAATTAGCTGCTGTTAAGATAAATGCAGCAGATGTTGATATAATCGCAAATGAATTAGAGGTGACTTCACTCAACTTTTTGTTCATCAATCCGTCTACAACTTTTTATTCCACTGAATTCATGTATTGTTTCCAACAGTTGGACAAAAAGGTTGCTGAACAAACCTTGCGTGAGCATAAAGGTGATGCAGTTGCTGCCATTCGACATTTGCTTCACTAAAATAATGGGAGTGAAGAAGGGTCAATCCAACAAAATGATACGTATCAGCCTATTATATACTTTGCATTGAAATTGAATCTCAAAAATATACTGACCTAAATTATTCAGAAATCTGAACTGTGTTATTGACATTGAATTTACCTCCTGTGCCCCTAAACTTCTTTGCCACAAAATGTACTTATTATCTAATGGAGGAGTTAAGTGCTTGCCTGTTGAACATATAGTTTGTCATACTCAAGCCCAGCATGTAATAGTTACAATTCAGATTTAAATTTATGCTTTTTTCATGCTCTTCTAAATTGATGTGTTGTGGTGGATGTTTGTGCATAATTTATGAACGTGTACCAATAGAAATGTTGTGGAAGGATTTGGAAAGGAAAAAAGTTTGTCTAGGATATATTTAAACTATATAAGACATGTATGACATGATAATATATGTATGGGAATTGACTTTCCTACAGGAAAAGAGTATAAGTAAAATAGACAATATGCACTGTAATTTAGCAAAAAAATAACTAACAAGAATCATGGAAGTTAAAATTAGATATGACGTTATACCACATGTCACAAAGGTCAATTCAACAAAGTTCAATTACTTGAATTGATTTTACAAAATGCGGAAAAATTAATAATGTTATTGATAGAATATAAATTGAGTGGTTAAAGTGAAGAAATATATTGAAAGTTATTTATAATTGAATAGTCTTTATTAAGTTAAAATGTTTCATTGTATGTATATATGATCAATTACTCTATATAGTAGTAAATGTTGAATCTTAAAGTAACAAGATTGGAAAAAAAAAGAAGAAAAGGTAACAATTATAAAATATTAAGATAGATAACTGATTATACATAAAGAATATAATAAAAATGATTGTATGCGCAAGAATATAAAATAAAATAGTATTTATAATGGATGACAAAAAAAAAATATTTAAAGTAATTTGATTATATGCAAGTAAAGTCACTTCCGTGACTCAGTTCAGAAAAAAAAAATAGAAGAAAATTTAAAGAAAATTATCAAAAAAAATTAATGATAAATAACATTTTTGAAATTTTAGTTTTTAATCGAAATTAACAGTATCGTGTGATGTTTGTTGTTGTATTAAAATTGATGAAACTTAGGATTTTAGACTTTTACTAGTGTTCCTTGAAATTGACATTGATGGGAAGGAAGTCTCCAGCGTCTTGTTAACTTTTGCGCATTCAATAAGATTCTGATAAAAATATGTTGCTGGCTCCATAATATTCAAGGGTTGTCAACTCTATGGTGTCTTTTCTTTCATTGGCCATACACCATAACAACGTCTAGAGTTAATAATTGCCATCCCATTTAGTTGTTTGTTGAGAAATCCTAACAGTTTTCTTTTCTGAAAGGGCAGTGTTTTTCCAGTTTACGAGTAATAAGATCCCAAACTATAGTCCTTAAATTGGCGTTGTAAGTGCATCATGAATTGTAGGGGTCCAGATCAGGTGCAATTTTTATATTTGTTGAACTGTGCCTTCGGTTATTTTCTAATAGTTGATTTTTTTTTCCGTGGCATAAATTTTAACTTTTTATTATAAGAAAATTTTCACAGATTAGATTCTGTGCAGTTTAAAACTGCAAATTGATCTGTAATGAATGGTATTTGTGCCTCCAACCCTTGACCAAAAGAAACAAAAGGTTCTGAGATATTCTACGAGTTGGATCTGCTCCCTTATTATCTTCACGTGATCTTGTTCGTTAAGTCACATTCCCACTCGAAAAACAAATGAACTCAGTAACAGGACAGAACAAATACAATGTTAATATATATAGGAGATTCATTAAGTGAAAACTATGTTCTCATATGAGTGGGAGAATATATAATAACTGGATAATGATTATGATTACGATTAAATATAATGCTATATGATTACTTTTAGTTGGTCATGTGATATTAATAGTTTTGTAACTAAATTTATTTATATATAATTATATAGTCATGCGATTATTCTTACAAAAGTAGCCGAATAAATAGTTAATTTAATCTCTAAAAAATAAGGAATTTGTCAGTTTTATTTGAAGATGAATATTGCTGTCTAAATTCTTGAAAGGCCAATCAGACAGTTAAATTGGTTTCCATGCCAATCACATCGCGTAATATTATTTGACACGCACATCGGTTAAAGAACATTTTTTCTTTTCTCTTCAATTTCTTTAATGAAAAAGAAACTTAGGGATCGTGTTTAGTTTTAGAAAATACTCATTTTCAAAATTTTTATAATAGGAAATAAAGTAAGAATAAGTTTTTTTTTTTTTTTGTAATTAAAAATAAAGGTACAATATTTTCTTAAAGTAAACAGACCTTTAAAATGTCCACCCCAAATCCATTTTGCATTTACACCACCACGTAAACTTTCGATATGGTGCAATGATTTAATTATATTTGATCAATCTAATGTTCTATTTTATTTTCATTTGGTTTTAATGCATGCATTTTGTATGTTAATGATACGCTAGAAGGTGCTAGTATTCTGTATATTTTGTTCTCCCCAAGCTTTTGCTAACTAGGATAAGTGCATTTGAAGTACTTATTGGTAAATTAGTGAGCACAATTATAGCCTACTCACCGTAATGTGAGTAGTTAAGAACGTTGAGATACTAAATACATCTCGAAGAATACTAGTAATATATTCTATATTATTTGTTAAAAATTTTAAAAGTATTGAGATAAATACATGCTTTTTTTTAAAAAAAAAAAATTTTAGTCGATAATAAAAAATATATCACAAAATGTGTGTTATTAACATTATAGGAAATAATTTTCATATTTTTATAATAATAACTATATCTTTCGGAGAATACATGTGTATTCATCGTTTATGTAAAAGGAAAATATACCTCCACTTTCTCATTTATACATTAACCACTTTAAAAGATTCAAATCCACCCTTCAAACGCCAATTTAACTATTTATTAAAAAATCGAGTTTATTTGATACATCATGCAGTCATTGTGGTTATATGTTTAAAATTTACATACAACTCACTCAAATTTTATTCTCACAATTCTTTCACAAATTCTAATCAAAAGATCATATAAAAGTAACTTTTTCTTAAAAAGAAGTCAAAGAACCCAATAGGTGGCATTTCTGAAAAATGGCACAGACAATGGAGCTGCAATGGAAATTTACAAACTACATGCTTTGGAGTTATTGTGGATAATAAATAATGAAAATGGAACTAAAAAGTACAAGTCCAACGTGTTAAGCTGTTGCCTTGTTTGTTGCTTAAAGTGGATAACGATAGAGATCCAACCACAACTATCACAGTAAGAAGAATTGGAAGTTTCCGATTCCATTCTATGATAGTAAAATGAAAGTTCTTTCGTAGGCTTCTTTTTTTATCACCCTATCTTTTTATACAAACATTTTCCATAAAAATTACAAAGATGACGATGGAAACCTATTCACAAGACTCCAAACAAACAGCATCACAAATAATTTAAGAACTTCTATGGTGCCACTAAAATATCAATAGACTAAAATCGTTTGGTAACCACTCCCCACTTATATGAAGATACCTGGGCAAATGTTTATGAACCAGTAATGCTGCAGGACTCCAGACATGCTATTTCTAGCAACATATATACTCATCAGGAATGTTTTGTATTATGCAAGCAAAAAATACCATATGCACCAGTCACTGGGACAAAAACAATCTCAAAGATTGTGGCTACTGGCTAGAACTCCTTTTGAGTGCCTTCCTCAACAGCAGATCGAGCTGCCTGAAATTGAATTACACACTGTCTCTGCATTTCTCTTAGTCTTTCCAGCAGTTCCTGGATAGTTGGTCGGCAAGTTGGATCACTGGTAGTAATGGACAAGTTGTGAGAATGCAATTGTTGGTAATAGCACCATACTTTCTAAGTTAGGAAGTATGAGTGATTATCCATAATAATGTTTAATACGAAAAATAAGAAAAATATTTTGAAAAGAATTCATGTTAACCAAACACAGGCTACGATCCATTAAATTTTTTTGGTTTGAGAACAAACCCACATACCCAACATATGCTAACAGGCAATAGCTTCAAGTTATATGAAATAATTAAAAATCTATGCTCATAGAATATGGGAGAAGTAGAGTGTTGTTACCAGCAGTACTCTCCACCAAAAGATTGTTTTGCCCGTGTGTGTCTGATTTTTAACAAGATACTTGATATGTAGTCATTCTATACAAACTATCTCCATTAATTCTAACAACTATTCTTTTTTTCTAAAATATTGCATAGCTAAATCTGAGGGCGAGACATGGTACAATGAAATAGTTGCTGCCTTATGACTTGGAGGTCACAAATCATGGAAACACCCTCTCTATTTGGGGAGTTAAGGCTGAATGCATCTACCTTCCCCAATCCCATCAGGTAAGAGCCGTGCCTCATGCAGCTCTTTAGTGCACTAGCTTAAATCTTACCAGCATTGCCAGAATGCTTGATATGCCAATCCATATGAAAAAGTTTAAAAGAAAAGTATAAAAAATTAAACCACCAAAAGGATGTAGGAAAACAAAGGTTTTAAACGACAAATACTGTGTCATAATTAGCGAACAAGATCTGAAGCCAAGTGATGCAAATGCAAAATTCTGATACACTAGAGGTCTGGAGTACCAAAATGATTTTTGCACTAAATCAAATATTTTACCTAAATAATAAAGACATACAAGGGCCAGTCACTCCATTTTAAAGAAACGGCAATTGATTTGAAGAAATTGACCAAGACACCAACTACTACACAATTCATTTTTAAATTTATCTTTTTAAAAGTTATAACAATTGTGCTTTGGACATTTAGAGCTGTAGGGAAGAAATAAGGAGTAAGAAATGCACACCTTTGCCAGCAGCTCTCAATTATAGAAGCCCACTGTGGATCAACATCTTCTGGAATTTCCAGCCGATGGTTCATAAATCCAACAGCTCCAATAACCTGCAAGAATCCTAGAGAAACTGTTCATATATGTACCCACTGAGTATGAGTTGACAGTGAAACATAATAACAGGGATTGGAGCAAGCAATCATAATAAAAACTGACACGTACTACTATCTTCTTAGATGATGTGTAAATTAAAAACTAAATTAGTGGCAACATGATGTAGCAATTCAGATGCCTAATTTGTGTCCTCTATGGTAACATGTTTTAACTCAATACTGGAATTAGAGGAGTAACAAATCTAACAATATTAAACTTTTTCAAAATGGTTTCTCTGTTTCCTTTCATCACAGTTACTGTAACACATTAAAACTATACCTGCATTGGGTTGAGACTATCCCACGGGATCTTTTCAGTTGCAAGTTCCCACAATATCACCCCAAAGCTGTAAACATCAGACCTAATGGTCCCATGTAACATCAAAAGATAATTCAGAGTGGAATTTTATTAAGAGCTTGAGAGAGAAGGGGGGTGGGGATTGAGAAAGAGTGACAACTAAGGGGATAAAACACACATACTTCTCATCTGACAGTTCATTACGAAGAACCTCTGGTGCCATCCATTGAGGCTACAAAGCAGGAACAAAAATCAAGACAATCAGAAAGATATTTTGACTCTGTAGGAGTAAATTTAAAGATCAAACATCTTAAGGGACCACGAAAAATGAGAGCTCACCGTGCCCTTTCCTGTCCTAGTACTGAGATATGTTTCATGCTTAAGACGCGAAAGACCAAAATCACCAACCTGTTTAGTTGACACATGATTAAGATATTTTCAGGTTCAATAGGGGAAAAAAAGCTGTAATTCCATAAGCAGCCAACTGAATGAACAAAGCCCAAATTATGGAGAATAAAAAGAAAAGTGACAAGTGGCAAACCTTCACAGTCCAATTCTTGTCAACAAGAATATTTGAAGACTTTAAATCTCGATGGATGATAGGGGGGTTGCAATGATGGAGATAATTTACACCTCGTGCCTATAGAAAGAGTAAGCATACACCATTGCTTCAATGACAATGATAGAGACCCTTTCTAAGATAACAAATTAAAGTTGAAGTCAAAACCAAGTATTGCTCCAAGAATAGATGTCTAAAATGAGTTAATAATATTGAAAAGAGAAAAGAGAGGGAGACAAAAAAGTGGACATGCACCTATTCCTCAACAAACGTCAGCATCATAAGAATGATTTGTATTTACTTTAAATGAAGAAGATACATTGATATATATATATATATATAGATAGATAGATAGATAGATAGATAGAGAGAGAGAGAGAGAGAGAGAGAGAGAGAGAGAGAGAGATTGTCCATAATACTGTGTTTAAGTACTCACAATATCTAAGGCCATATGAACCCGCCTTCTCCACTCTAATTTGGATGTGTTTCTCTGAAGCAAACGAAACAAGCTTCCTCTGAATTGATGAAATATAAAAGGATGCAACAATTATCAGCTCAAATCAATATTTTTTTGGCACATAACAAATTGAATCATGATAGAGTTTTATGTCAGAAATAAAGTTCAGGACAAACCGTGGGAGAAATTCTGTTACAATGCATAGACGTTGAGGTGAAGTTACAGCCCCCATAAAGAGAATAACATTTGGATGACGAAGTCTTTTCATCATAGATACCTTCAGACAGAAGACATTGTCAAATCAATAATATACAAGGGAATTTAAAGGGAGGTTCAATTATTAACTGAAACTACCACATAGAAAGTGGAATATGTCTGATTATTGAAAGAGAAGCAAAAAATAATAAAAAAGGAAAACATCAGGAAGTGTAAGAACAAATTCTGGCACATACAGCTCCATATTGATGTATTCATCAAAATCAAACCTCTGGTATGCATGATAGCCATGGCTTCACTATTACCAATAAGGTTTCAGTATTATTCCAAATTATGAGTTTTACTATTCATTTAATTGAAATAGAACATTTTTTAATTGACTATTAAGCATTACCAAAATTTCCAATAAAACCGATATAGTGTATCCATGTTGTCAAGGTAAATTGGATTATAATTTCAGTTAATTTGAAGGAGAATTAAGTGACAAGAACGAGACCCTATCTATGGTTAGTATGAACAAAGTAGCTTTTTTGCCAGAGCCAATGGGATTATTATTGATCCTTATTTAAAATCACCACCAGGCTTGACGAAGCAATCTCACATGTATGGATAGTAGATCAAACTGAGTTCACATGTTTAGAGACCAAAACTGTGACATCCAACATACATGTGGATTTTAGTGTGACACATGAAAGCATAAATATTGTGAAATAAAAAAGGAAATATTGATGATTTCATTGTGAAAACATCTTCAAAGTAAAACCAACAGAAGAAAATGTATTATGGTGTAATCATATTTTCTCTCCTAGTTACCTTAGCAACCACAGCAATCTTTATATTTAAACATAAGCTGACTTTATCACATGGAAAAATTTTAGCCTATTTCCCATTTTCTAATATAACAAGCAAATTAGACTACCAGAAATCATACCTCTTGTCTGAAGGACAGTAGCACATCATCTGAATACTCTTGCTTTGAGAATACCTTGACAGCAACATCCTGCAGAAACATGAATATAAGTTGAATTCCAGATGCCCTAATCAAACAATGTTCAGTTAACACTCTAAAAGGACCTTAGTATACTGAATACTAGTAATTTGAGCTGTAAAATAACAATTCGCATTATATAAATGAAAAACTTAAAACCAGAAATTACAGTAAGAGAAAAGAACATACCGATCCATACCACAGAGCATGATATACAATTCCACAAGAACCTGCAAAGCAACAACAGAAAGGTAAATAGAAAAACACTCAAACAGATATGCATAACAATCATTGATCACTAGATCTTTGACTTTGCAAGCAAGGGAATCAAATTAATGGGGACTCAAAAAGAAGCAAAGAAATTTCAAAATTAAGAACTCTACATACAGACATGTCAGAATTGTTTAATTTAACCAACTACTTGTGTTTGGGTTGATGCATGGATAATGTCAAAAGCTTATTTTGTCAGTAAAGAACATGACTACCTTGCCCAATTGGTTCTCCAATTGTCAGGTCCTCCCACAAAATTTCATAATCCAAGCAATCAGAGTCAACATCCACTTTATTATTGGCGGCAGAACTGCTGCCACTCCCACAGCTGCTGTTACTACTTGTGCTGTTAACATTAAAGGATGACCAGGATCCTAAAGCCTCATTATTAACAGGCTGATTAGTTTTGCCTGTCTGGCTGTCTGGCTTCAACCCAGAAGAAATATTCTTCTGATTAATTGACTCATTTTCTTGATCACCTGGCAACCAAGGCCAAGCAACATGAACATTCCTTGCATCAGATCCTTCCCGATCATTTGCTCTCCATGGCCATGACAATGCTTTCTTTTGAATCCATGTTTCAGCTCTAGAAGTTATCATCTTGTGAATAGGTTTTCCTTCACTCCGATCACCTGAGTCTCTCATAGTTCTTCCTTGGGATTTTTCTTCAGCATGACCAAACGGAGATTGTAGCACCTCTTCTCTCGGTGTGCTAGCTCCACTGGAATTACCATCCTCTCTCTGGTCAGAAAGAATGCAGTCCGAGAAACTATGCTCAGAATGATGACTTTCTCCACTCCCACCTTCACTGTCAACATTATTTTCCCTAGTCCGGATTCTAGACTTAACTTTGTTACTCACTTTTGACGCCTGCGTTAACATAGCAACATCAAGACATGCCAAATCAATACATATATAAAGAAACATGAAAAGTACAAAACTAACCAAATTTGAAATTTTGGATGCCAGAGCAACTTGAAGTGGCTGCTGAGAGTCAAGGCCAAGTTTATCCGTAATGCTACTCTTAAGCCGGTTAGAACCCGAATCCGCCTCTTCATTCTTAACACCTGAAAAGGGCATTATGGTTTCAAGAAATGGCCGTGAGTCACATGAGACACATATAACCCCAACCAAGCTTCCATCATCATCATAGAAAGGTGTATTGGTTGCCACGGCTAAGAACCTATCCCCCATCTTATTCTTAACAGGGAATTTCCCCCTCCAACTTCCTCCCATTTTGACATGGTTGAATACATCATTGGCTAAAGCAAAATCCCTTGGATCCACAAGCAACTCAATCCCATCATGCCCAAGAACTTCATCTGCTGCATAACCATACAGATTTGCAGCACTAGGGTTCCTGCAAAATCATAATCAAACAAACTGAACCCCCCCAAAAAAAAAAAATCTACTGTACATATGCAAAAAAAAAACCACAAAACCAAATTTGAAGAACCAAAAAAAAAAAAAAAAAAACTCACTCACTCACCAGAAAATGATACGACATTGAGGATCCAAAATATGAACAGAATGACCCATTGACTGCAAAATATTGAGATAATGGCCATGACTACGATTCTCTCTCTGCAAGGGCAAATAAGATGGTTTGTTACACGTCGCACCTAACTCTGAACGGTGCTTGAGCTTGGACATTTGATGCTTAAGATGAAGGTGACCAACTTCTAGCCGTTGTATCTTCTTGTGAAGCTCTTGTTCTTCTTCTGGGGTACCCATTTTTCACTTTTATCAGTAATACACGCGACTCTGTGTCGTCACTCGCAGAATGCTAAGAACATGATACAGTTTATCAACTTCGTACCCAACTTTTGAGAAAGAAGAACAGAACGAATGTGTGTGGTTTTGCAAAGGTCAACAGTTATGCTCTTCTTTTCAGATATCTTTCTTTTTTGGCTTTAAGATGCGCTGAGTAACTTATTATACAAGATATTTACGATATTTGTCTTTCACTGTTTCAGCTTTGATTGTTTTACACTTCAGTTCTTTGTTATTTTTCTTCTTTTTCGCATAGCGTTTATGATTATTTTTTTCTTTATCTATTTTTTCTAATAGTATATGCATTTCATTGGAGTGTCTAATGAATTTTTTTCCACGTCTTTGTTGATTTGTTTATGTCTATCTTTCATAAGTTGTATTTTAGGCTGAGAACAAATAAAAAGAAAGAATGTAAGTGTTAATATAAGAAATAGGTTTTCCTATAATATAAAGAATGTATTACATAAGCTATTAAAATGATGTTTATATATTTAAGGATGAAGTAATTAAAATTAAAGGAAATTTTAATTAGAATTATTATTATTTAATAGAAGTTAGATACAAGTTTCTTTTATAATTAAATTATTATTCAACTAAGAGTTTATAATAATTTATCAACATTCTCTTTGTAATAAATATTTATAAATATTAAATTATATATATATATATATATATATATATATCACAAATGTGAATTAGATATTTTTCATAAAAACATCATTTTAGACTTAAAAAAATATTTAGAATATATTTTTTAACACACTTTTTTAAATATACTTTAAAATTTATTAAGAATTAAAAAAAATTTATAAGCCTCGCCATTAATTTTATAATTTTTTAAAATTTTAATCAATACTTAAAAATGTGTTGCATATAATATATTAAGTTTATAACACTCTCTTCTAAATATTATATATATATATATATATATATATATATATATATATCTTATTACTAAAATTTTATTGAAATGAAATTTGAAGTGAGGAAAAAAGAGAGTGCATAATGCATTAAAATTAGTACGAATATTAATTGGCTTTGTTAAAATCTTTGTTGAGAAAACCTGTGAATCAAATCCATAGAGATCAGAGTGAAGTTGGGCGTTAACCCCACCAATTGTAAAAGTCATTCAATTTAAGACTTTTGAGTTGCACACTAATCTTATATATTAGTTTATAAGATGGAGAAGCAAGTAACTATTTATGAATAATTCTATCGAAATTTCACTTCACCAAACTTATCAAACTCAATGATATGTGTGTGTATATATTCTGTTTTTCAATGTATCGTTCCTTTAATTTTGCTACACATGAAACGTATATTATTTTTATACAAAGCTTTTAGAATTTCTCTACTAGAAGGTATTTGCACGATTTAAAGAAGTGACAATAATTGTTTGTTTTATAGGAAAAACATTAAATAACTTGTTTGTAATTTAACATTGTGTGGATTAGATTAATATGCACAAAATATTTAAATTTTTTCAAACTTATTTAATTCTCAAATCACTAATACTTAAAATTGAGATAATATTTTTCATTATTTTAAGAAAATTTCTATAAAAATGGCTCTAAGGGCACTTGTGAAGAAATGAAAAGCACTACCCCTCTTCTTATTTATTTGCCTATAGAGAAAATATAAAATTTTATATTATTTATAATTTGTATAAAAGTTCAAGATAACATTAATTTTTTATTTTTTTTTGCTAATACTTCTCTGCTGATATAGGAATTCTAAATATAATAAATAAAGCATTTACACTAGTTAGACAGTTAAATGGTCAAAGAGGGAAAAAAATAATAAAGTATTAGGTTTCTTGATTTGTATAATTTTTTTTTCTGAGCATATAAATAAAAATTGGTGTAGTGGAATTTTTTTTATTAAAAAAATTAAATTGAGATGTATTAAAAATCAAAGGGAAAGAACATTTTAACTACCCTAAAAGTATGGGTTAATGTTTTGCCTAGAAAATTTATTTAAACTGTTGACAAATTTATTGATACCAACTAAGCTGATTAAACTTCTCATTTTTAATAAATTCAGGTGTTGGATTCTTTTCGTTAGATTTAAACAAGACTAAACTCTTTTCGAGAATATTTCTCCTCAATAGTTTCATTTGATTATTTGCTCATTTTTATTCTAATATTTTTGTTTTTGGAACCTATTACCGTTTTGTCAATGAATACACATCTTTGTGCAAGTAAAATGACGGTGCCTTTCATGGAATTTATTTTCCAAGCTACCTATTTTCTCCAATGCCCAGGAGATAACAATCAACAAAACAAGTTATAAAAGGATCTTCCAGTAATGACTCAAGATACTTAACTATTAAAGAAGATATATAGCCAACATATTTTTTACCGTCTTTATGGTCCTGTCTATGTTTGTTGTGAAGGAGTAATAGCTCAAAAGTTTGAATTTTCTTTATATGAAGTTGTCCAAAATAAAGCCAATATTTTTGGGCACCAAGTTGCTCAAAATGATATTTGCTTCAAAGTAGTCTGGTGCTTGAATGCCAAGAATCCAATGCCTAAGTGTGATGAGGAAATCCCATTAAGGGTCTGTCTAGTGGTTATGATAGGATAAGAATGAATATGGTAAAAGAGTTGAATTAAAATAAGATCGAATAAAAATATAATATTTTTTTATTATATTCAATGTTTATTGCATATTTTAGAAAGAAAAATATAATATAAATATATAGAAAAAAAATAAGATTATTCTTTTATTTATATTTATTAAATTAAATTTTATTTTTTATTATGTATAAGTTATTTATTTTAATTTTAAAAATATAAAAATAGAAAAGAAAAGAAGAGAAAGAGGAGAAGGAGTAATATAATAAATTAAGAATATTTTGAAGAAGTCAATTACTATTATTTTCTTCTTCTTCAAACTCAGTTATATTCTCAAGATAATAGTTATACTAATTTAATAATATAGGATAAATAACATAATAATAAATTAATCATATCACTATAGTTCAATAAACACTTGATTAAAAATAGATATAATGTGCTATCTATCCTATCTATTATTATTACTACTACTAAACAAAGTCTAATTGTATTTGTGACTTTAAACAAAAGAAAGAAAGAAAATAAAAAATTATTCTAGAGACATGTAGCACTTGAAATATACCTTAGTTTGATTAGAGAAGCTTGAAAGATCAACAAAAAAAAATGCTAATAACACTCATTATTATTAATTATAATTTATTGAAAACTAAAAAAATATGAGAGAGAAATATTAAATTAAGAAGGAGAAAGACTTAAATGATTTTTGAAATTTTCAAAAATTTTAACTAATAATGAAGTATGTGTTACAAAAAGTATATTAAAGAATGTGTTACTAACATTACTCAAGATCAATTATAAGCTTTTCTTTTCTTCATTTATTTATTAATCAAATTCCTCTCTTCTCACAACTAAAGGACAAAATTACTTCCTTTTTTTATTACTTTTCATTTTTGTCAACGTGACTAAATCCTTAATTAGGGATAATTTAGATTATGTAACGAATGCATGCTTCTTAATCTATTTTTACCCTTAAGATTTGAGAAAATAATTCTACATCATGTTTCTTTGGATTGGAAAACTATAATATAAGCTAGATTTAGGATATATTTCCATTGATTTGTTGAATTTAAAATTTATTTTATTAATGGACGTTGTTATCCATGCCTCTTGCCCTATTAACTTCGATTACTGGCTAACGAATTAACAGTCTTAGTGATTACAGGAGATTTAACTAACTACAGAATCAGTTATTAATTTACTAAGTAGACTTAACCGTCAAAGCTGTCTCGGATGATCAAATTATAATTTACATTGCATATGAACGATAAAATGGAATCACATTCTAACATCTTCCTCTTTGATAGTTGAAAAACCGAAAACCAAGTTTGGTATTTTGGTTGAAACGTTTCAACTCCAAGTGCATTTTTTTTTGGGTGTATACTTCAAGGCGTTGATTTTCAGTATTAGGTTCATTTCACTTGGTTCAATCCGCTATTTGATCCGTCCAAATAGTGTTAATATAGTAAATCAGTAAGTGGTCATTTTCATCTTCCTGTATAAAAATAAACAATTCTCATGCTTGTGATTTTGAACGGTGAACCAAAGGAAAGAACAAATGCTACCCAACCTTTCAAGTTCATCAAACCCTTCACGCCGGAGCTCTGTACGGATATCCACTCACTTCCTAATGCATTCTAAATTGGCAGTTGTGACTAATTCATCTGCTAATGTGTTGAGGAATATAGTAAATCTGCAAAAATACACACAAATACAGATAAAGAAAAAGAGGTGCAGATTCATTCTTTACTAAAAATAAAAAAACTAGCCTTCACGAAGTTCCAAAAATTACAGAATAACCCAGCTTTGATTAAAGAGGAGGAAGGGATTTACAGGCGATACTGAAAAAAATAATAAGGTAGGGAGTAGGAAAGCAATGTTACAGTGAGCAAACCTTGTTGGAGGTTAAGATTTTACAGTTATTTGCAAACTTGGAAACATATGGTATAAGGAAGTACTTTCAGAACCAAGAACAATGCAGGAAATGGATGTAGTTCAATCCAACCATGGATTGGAGTTCACGGCAGCTGCTAATGAAGTAAGCATTTGCTTGAAAAATTTTCAAGGACACCCACTTGGCCATGAACATATATACATATTGGCGACACGGCATTTTATCTACTCTGCATTTACTTTATCAGTAAGATTTAAGGTTACATTTAACTACAAAATAACGCCGCTCATTGCTGTACCGAACAAGTGTTGTCAGGGCGCAAAATAACAATCCAATTTGGTAGAATTACATGTGACCGAGATAACTAGCCAAATCAGCTTGCTCAAATACTTGTCCCTTTAAGTTGCCTCGTTAGGTGAGCATTATCTATGATAACAAACTAACAGTGAGCATGAGAGGCAGTACCTTTGCTTTTATCTTACAGCTACAAAATACCTATTTAACATTTTTTAGAGCTTTTCCGTGTCAAGGGTAGTTCAAGAAGAACAAAGAAGTAGCAACGTTCTGCCTCCCTGATATATTGGACTTCACCGTTCATTAACTTTAGAATCTTCCTGCTCATGCTCAGCCCTAAGCCTTCTTGAGTCGCCCACCGACTGTTATGGAACATGTCTTGAACCAATTCAGGAGGAAGACCTTCACCTGGACATACCATCCTACACAAAGAAAATAAAATGAAACACAATTAGTCAAATAGTATCCACTATTTCCACTTAAATAATAATAGTCAAGTGAAAATTGAATGTACAGAAAAGCACCATTATTTTAGCACTAAATTACAAGTTGCTAAACCTATACATCTAAGAAGTGGAGTAATACAATGTATTTAGTTAATAACCAGCATTTGCAATTTTATTTTATTTTTTGCTTTTGGATAGGGACTTTTTTTTCTTATTTTATGTAATCTCTTTTCAAGAAATTTTGTGCAAAATGACAAGACATCATAAGGGAAGCCAAAAAAAACCTATTTTTAGGTCCAGATAGACTTATAAGCACAGGGAAAGTCTTTCAGTAATCCACAGCTTAACAGTCTTACTTAAAAGATATTGCTGTCTTTATCCTTCCAAGGGTGAAATCAGATGGGAAATTTTGATTTTATGATATGAATCTAAAGAGGTTCAGAATATTCTAGTATTACATTTGTCATATTGAGACAGGATTTAAACCTGAGGCTCTTATGAATCAAGGTTGCGATTTTCATCTGTAAACACTTATATAAAGAGAAATATAATAAAATTACTTGAAGATCAACCACAATACCTAAATTCAGCATGGAGAAGGGTGAGCCCATCTGAAATTTGTTTTATTCTTGGACGTACATGAATCTCTACCCAGCCGTCTGGAGATGGTGCATAGCGCACCATATTCAATAAGAAATCAGCCAAAATTTGTTGAATCCTCAATTGATCACCATAAACAGCTAATGTCTTGATTTCTTCAGGAATATCACGAATCAACTGTAAATTTCTTTCTCTTAGCAATAACATTACTTGGCTAACAACTGCATTTATGACATTTCCAAGCATGAATTCACCCTTTTCAAGCTCCAGGGACCTAACTCCAAAAGGAAAACAAGACATGAATCTTGCCTTTCTCTAAAGAAAATCAATGCAGTAAGTTTAAAGGGACATTAAAGCAAGTAAGATAGTAAAGCTAACTACCAAAGGCTGCAAAGCATAAAATGCAAGCATCAACTCCCTAGCAAAGCATGGAATATCAGTATAGAATTGATAATTGATATTTGCACATACCAATTCCCCAAATTTGCATATCCTAGTACGAAGACAGTGGTGTATATGTTTATGTGATTGAGACATGCTTTGTCTGAGTTAGTCTATTTTAGATCATCATCATATAAGACAAGTGAAATTGATACAATCATTGACAAACATGTAAAACAGGGCATTTGAAAAATTTCTAGTCACTGCTGAATGTTATCAGAACAAAGCAAAACATTGCCAAACTTCATGACAAATCGATAAAACATAGACATGGACAAGGCCCGTCAGAAAACAGTGTTCCAAAAAAATTAACTTGGTTTGCAACATTATGATAATTTTCACACTTTTTTGGAGAGGTGGGTGGGGGAAAGTACCAGAAGAGAAGATAATAACAGCATCATAATAACAGAATACTTGCAAATTCTAGAAAGCACAATAAACTATGAAACATTTTTAACCTCAGTTATAATGAACACTATGAAAAGGAAAGAAGGCTACAAAATAAATTATTAGATAGCTAATAATATCCAAACAGACATAATTAGATCTTCATCTTATTATGATCCACAAAACTACGATAAAACTCTGTTATCTTTGTTTCCTATATAAATCTTCGAAAAAAGAAAACAAAGTAACATTTTTGTTAATAAAAGGGAAAACAGGAAACAAAAAGAGAAATTGTTTTCTTAAAGTAAACAGGCTTAAGATATTCATCCACTCCTTCATTATGAGATAAAAAGTAATTTTAATATTCTTCATCAACCAGTCAGCATATCTAATAGTATCAGGATTATCTTTTATAAGGGAAAAATAACTATATAACGAACTTAGTAGCTATATTAAGTTTATATTTTTAGCATTACTAGAGTAGAGAAGGTAATTTGACATAAAACCGTCAAATACTTTTGATTGACAATTTTACATTGACATTATTGTTACAGGACTGTTGAGCAAGCAATAAGCACCTTAAAAAAACTTGGTACGCCAGTCCCATGTCAAAATACCACTTGTTCTAAAATATTAAGCTATTATATTTCAACATAATACAGCTTTGAATTGTTAGTCTGTAATTTGTCACATTCAAGCCTTTCAGGCTTTCATGTGAGGGATGTTCGATTTATATAACCAAATGATAGAACTCTTACAGTCATCTTCCAGGACAACCAAAACGTTTTAAATGATTGCTCAGAAAACTCACCCATCTTCGATTCTTTCAAGATCAACGTCACGTATTATCTTTAACATTTGCTTCTCACAAGCAGCACTAGTCTCAAGAAACTGCTTTTGCTCATCGGTCAAGCCTGTAGCCTCCAAAAGAGAGTTTGTAAAGCGTATGCCACTCAAAGGATTCTTTACTTCTTGACAAATATAAGCTAACTCTTTCATCCTAGCAAAGCAATTCTTTTCTTGTTGTCTCTGGGCCTTTAGTGCATGTTGAAGTTCAGGAGTCACAACTTGCAAAAAGCAAAAAGCACCAATGATCTGGCCATCCATGTTAACCCTCTTATTTGCAGTCAGGAAAGTTTGTATATACTTTCCATGACGGTCGAGAAATGAAAAAGGGAATTTATCAGTATCTTGTCCCCCATGCGCATTATGCAAGACAATCATGAACTTTGTTATTGCATCTGAACCCTTCAACTGACAGCAACTACCAAAAACCTCTCCCACCAACATTTTTCCAATGACATCCACACGACCCCAACCAGTTAGCTTTTCCATGGCAGTGTTCCACTCTAAGCAACATGTGTTATCATCCGATGCAAAAATGGGAGGGATCAATGGATTTGGACTATGTATAATAGCCTTGTAGTCACCCTGTATGTTGATGAATTTGTCCATCACAATTTTTTGACTAGTAACATCCTGACCAACAAAGCACACTCCAACTATATTATTTGTATAATCTTTGCTGGAGCAAGCATTCACCACTACAAAAACTGCCTTATTTTGATGTTCTGGGCCAAACGTCCTCATTTTTATCTCAACATTCTTATCTTCTTCACCTGTACTAATTAAATTCAAGTTATGTCGTTGTCAACCAACTATCAACAACTTAATTTTTGTCTAAACTAGATGGAGTTTATAACAGCAGGTAGCAGTTTACTTCTAAGCTCAATGACTTATAGTCTGCCTGATTGAGTAGGTGGAAAGTATGAAAGCAGAAAAGTGAAAATTGTTTTCAACTAAAGTTAGGGTCCAAAGCAAAATTGATAACATTTTATTTTCCAACATCATACTTTTGTTATATCAAGCAGGTATAAAGTGTTTTTACATTCCCAATTTTCCACCCTCCCACTTGCCCCTTACTCAAACCAAGTAGACCCTAAAGCCTAAATGAAATAACTGCTAACCCACACAGGATGACACTGGATTAGACTGTGAAAATTTTCTTTTCTTCTTTTCCCCTTTTATAAGCTTTGCATTATATTACATGCAGTTGGATTTTATGCCAATGCTGCCATTTTTAATGAATTACAAATGACTGAACCATGAGGTGCATATAGAGCATTCATTAATTGAGCTCCGGATTTTGTAAAAGGCAACTATTTATCTTGCTATGAACTATTATTATTAAAGTATCCTGTACACCTAGCAAACTTCTAGCCATCATGTTTACAAGTGAAACTTTGGCAAAAAAAAAAGGTTAGATTGGCATGCTCTTCTGGATGGTACAGAGATCTCCTACCTAATCAACCTAATGAATTAACCAGAAAACCAGAGTTTCAGAAAGGGTACCTTTTAAAGCACGAGAAAGAAGCTTGCCCACTGTTTCTTCAGACTCCTTGAACACAAGATCGTGGACCAAGGACTTCCCCATAGCATCCTCAACTGGGAGTCCTGTCAATTCTGAAACCTTTGCATTCCACCCATTTATGTTGCCATCAAAATCAACAGCAAATATGGGAGCAGTGGCTGTTTCTATCAACCTAACCATCTCTCTGGCCACCGAGCTTAGTTCATCTACCCCTTGCAACTCTAGTTCCACCAAATGGGAATGCACAACAGCCTTAGAATTGCTTTGCTCAGCATCCTTAAATGAGTCACGCAGAATAAGCTGCAAAGAGTGAATAGCATCCATTTCTGCATTCTCCCACGGCAAACTACGGCTTTTTACCACTTCTAAAAAAGCCTTGAACGAAGAACGAGGATGCATTCGCTGCCCATCATCCTTGTCCTCTGGGTGATGCTTTGCCCCACCCCATTTGATCTCTTTTGCTGTGTGGGACCGAAACCAGAAAAGAAAATCCTTTTCCGTGATATAAGCAACAGCCATCCCACAAACTGCATCCCCTAGCGAGGCAGCCCCAGGATAGCCAGCATCAGCCAGACTATCAGTACTCAAACCCGTCGAATCTCCATGGAAGGCCAACAGCCACTCAATGATATCCCTTATCTGAGACTCTGTCGGGGTGACACCCAACGGGCAGTAATTTCCTTGGTAGTAAAGAGCAGCTCCATCACACTTGACCAAGTCCATAATACTAGGAGTCTGAGTAACAATGCCAGTAGGAGAGTCCCTAAGAAGCATGTCACACAAGAGCGTCTGCGTTCTCAAAACCCGTTTCTCCAATGACTGCGCTGCCAACTGAAGCTCCATATTCAACTGCAGCCCAAACGCCTGCATCAAGAACTCACAAGCATACCTCAAGGGAAAAGGAATACACCTAGCAGAAGTATGATGACAAACAACAAGCCCCCAAAGCCTCATGGAACTCCGACCTCCAACACCTTCCTCATCATTCCCATTAATAATAACAGCCATAACCAACGAAGCAATCGACCCCATATTTGCCATGTACTGAGCATGACAACCGTGTGGAGCACGAAGCGTAGACCCAACCAAACACAGAGGCTGCACAAGAGCCTCATCCTGAACCACCCTCACAGGCGAAGCATGACAATCCACAATCATCCTAACCCTATTCTGCTTAAACAAAAACCTCGAAGCTTGAGGAATATCAGTAGCAGGATAATGCAAACCAATATAAGGCTCCAAATCAGGCCTCTTACTCTCAGCAACAACCTCACCATGCTCATCCTCATGAAACCTATACACCATAACCCTATCATACCCTGTCAATTCCCTAACACTCTCAACAACAGTGTCACAAAGAAGCTTAACATCTCCTCCAGGAAGAGACTGAAGCTGCGAAATGGCGCGAACCGCAAGCTTCTGCGACTGCACCGCACCTGCAATGGAAAGTGCAGGATCTTCCGTACGCGCAGGTTCCAAATCAATGACAATACCAACGTCAATTCGGTGAAGGATACCATAGAAAGGCTTACCGGAGGTTCTAGAATGGATCCAAATAGGGTTCATGAGGCTAATTTCACGCGCGGTGAAAGCCTTCTCGAGAAGCAACGCGCTGGACGGAGTGAAGAGAGAGCGAACATCGGTGGCGAGAGCGAAGGGTTCGAGCTTGTCGTCGTCGAGAGAGGGAACGGACTGAGGAGTAATTCCGAGCATGTCGCGAGCGTTTTCGGAGTAGGCGAGGATGCGAAAGGAGCGTTCGTCGACGGCGATCATGGAACCGAATGGTTGGATAAAACCGCCACGCTGGATTTTGAGAAGGTAAGCGGTTATTTGCTGCTCCGGCACCGATTCCGACGTGACACGAAGCGATTGTGAATAGTCAAAGGATTTTCCTGACTCGCCGGATTGTTCGAACACGGCGTGGAGCCTCGCATCTTCTGTGTACTGCGCTATCGCTTTGCTCATCGAATCGATGCTGTGGTGGCTTCGCTTCGTTCTCGAACTGTGAATTTGCGTCGGAATTGAGGAATTCGCTGCTCCACTTGCAGACGCCATTTTGAAGATGATGAAGATGAAAAGTGCTTTTTCCTTCTTCTTTTTTTTTTTAGGTTTTATTTATGGTTTGTGTGAAATTTCGGAGCAGAGAAGAGAGGGACTGAGAGTAGCTAAGAGTGAAAATAAGAAAGCAAGAAAAAGAGTGACTGTTGCAGAAGCAGCAAAGTAACGCTGCTTTTCTTGCTTGGCGTTTTGCCTGCACGCGATTTCTCGGTTGTGGTCTGAAAATAAAGAGAAATGTTACCGACTTTTGTTCTGTACATTGGATATTTATTTAAGTTAGATTTTTCAAAAAAAAATTGTAAAATATTCTTGTGTTAATTTAATGATAAAAAATAACATTAAACACATGTTTTAACAAATACAGCTATATTAAACACTGAAAAAATGGTGTTGAATAATAAAAAAGTCTCCAAACAAAGATAGTTATGGTTGAGACAAGAAAATTAGTTATAAATAATCTGTTTCCACTCTTCTAAATAACAGAATTACTATTTAAACTGATGAAGATTTTTGAAGCATTTAATTATGCACCACCTACCATTTATGTTGAATTTTTTTCAGCCTTTATTGTCTGTGTATGATTCCGTGGGTGTTTGTTTTTATGTTGAGAAATAGTTATTGGTGTTATGGTATTTTCTTGTGGCAGGACTTGGGTGAATTCAGCAGTGTGATAATAATAATATATTGGAGAGATTATAATGCTTAATATGTAATAATACTTCTTGGTTTAAGCCATTTTTAAACATATCCATTTCAATTAAATGTTGTTGCAAATTACACCATTTTGCTGTCTACAATTAATAATTCAACGGTTTGCTGTTACAATTGTTATTTCTTTTATTGTTTTTTTCACGTGGCATGATTCGTGGCCCGCTGACACTGGCATAAGCTTTACATCGTGTTTCATGCGAAACCCTGTCTTGTTTGCGGCGACTAAAACAAGCAACTGCAATGTCAGAACTCCTTCAAACCATATTTTAGACCTAGAAGATGTATTTTAAATTCTTGTAAATATTAAAAATAATAAAATTATTATTTAATTATAATATGCCATATATGTATCAATAATTATTTAAAAGTAATATACAATATGACATGTTTGAATACATGTAATATATAAAAAAAATTATTTATAAGATTTTCAAATCTGTGAACTTTAAAAGTAACAAAAAATATTTGATAGATGAAATTAAATTTAACCACAGGCGTTAAAAACATACTTTATCATTTATTTTAAGTGTTTAAAAAATAATTTTAGAGTAGACAGAATAATTTTAAAATAAGTAGAATTTTAGGTTTTTCATTAATTAGTAAAGTATCATCATCTTTACTAAAATATCATCATCTTTAAACATAATTTTAATTTTTTAACGTTAATTCTTTCATAATCAATCTTTAAAATAAAATTTTACTAAAACAAGAAAAACAAACAGGTTCTGAATAAATGTGTCGAATAGAAATTTTCATTGTTTATAATTTGATTAATCTTACTCACAGACATTTATAAATACATCATTTCATATATATATATATGATCATAGTAATTCTATTTTATTTTCCACGCATCTACACTTGATTTTACCATATAGTTTTACATGTGAGACATAAGATGGTGTAACTAGCAAGGTTTCATATTATTAACAGGATTTAATAACTTTATTTAGTTAAAAGAAAACGCAGTTAATCATGCATGCCATGTTACTCAGTAAAATTGCTTTTTGTATCATCATTTTATTAGTCTTGCTAAGAACGATAAAGTTAACTTTTAAAATCATTAAGGAAAAAAATATATAATACAGTATGTATACAAATGCTTTTCGTTGATTAATCGAATAATGCTTTTATGACAATGCTTTTCGTTCATAGTATGAAACTTAAGCTAAGCTAGCAGTGGGGGCTAGAGGAGATGAATGAAGGAATACGAAGCAAATAATGCCATGTGAAAAGGTGTTTGAGTCAATTGTTGAAGATAGATGAGGCGATAAAAAGTAGCAGTCGAGGTAATGGAATGGATATAATTCTAATACTAGTACTGAAGATTCTACGAACAAAAACAGTGGTAGAGAATAATTTTATCAACAACCATACACAACAATGATGGGGTTGAAAGAAATCACGACAACAATAGTACCATTATTGTTATTGCCAAAAAAAATTATATGCGAGCCTTAAGAGTTTTAGTAGTAACAATGTATGATGATTATCACCCCATTTATAAAAAAGAAAAGAAAAGAAAAAGAAATAAAAGATAACGATCCTGATGAGACAAGATAACAATAATATTCGGGAGATTGTCTTAGCAAGAGATAACTTTTCAATCCTTTCAAAGTTCAAAGCATCTAAATGTCAAAACCAATAATTTTCTCATTTAAGGATGCCATTGCCAGAAGCTGGATTGTGAATGTGCTTCTAAAAGTAACCCAAAGGGGTGGGGCTACCTTGTTTTATTGGAAATCGTTTGAGCCAGTCAACAACCACCTTGGGAGTCACTATTGAATGTTGCTTGAGCAGAAATTTCCACTATAGGGGAAATAAATGAAATTGTTGTTGTTCAGTCAGATGGTTTATCATTAGGGAAAAACTATCATGTGGTTGTGTTGTTTGAATTTCACTATGCAACTAGACTTGAGCCGAATTTATTATAAAATTAATTCACAGAGCATGCCCAAACCTACTATGCTGTCCCATATCCTCCTGGCCTCCCAAAGTGGCTTGGATATTATTTCTCTATCTTTTTGTATTCAGCTTTTCTCATAATTTCCTTCTCTCTTATGATTAGTGTAATTGAAATGAAACACAAACTAAGAAACATAATTATTTTCTCATGTATTTTCAATTTTTTAAATTTCTAAATATTCTTTTTAAAATTAATATACCATTAACCTATTTATTGTTAGTGTTTGAAATATCGAAAAAAATAGTGAGATTATAAATGCTTGAAAATTGGTAAAATGATATCTCCTTTTAATTTGGAAAAATGCTAACTAATGCCTAGAACACTGGTTTGTTTTTCAAAGCATCTTAACATAATAATCAATAATTGTTTTTTTACTTTTTATTCATTAACCAGTGTCCTAAGAATATTAGTTAACAATAACTTAATTTTGATTTTTAATAATTTATTACTTGATTTTATGATAAATATGTAACATTAAGAATTAAAATAAGGATATGAGTGAAAAAATTTAATAGAATTTTAAAATTTGAAAACGACAAATGTACAAGGACAAAACTTTTCTTATAAAACTAGGATCATAGAGGAGAGCAATTTGTTTTATTTCAACGATTGGATAGGAGTGATTGAAATATTTCCACCGCTGTAGACCAGGACAACAAGAAATGACAAGTTCCTTCCAAACCAAATTAATCAGGCAAGTGGAATGCCAACGGGGCTTGTATAAATTTGAATGACGAAATTGAGCAAAATTAAAGCAGTTTTGGAAAGGCAAAAATATAAAGCCCAGCTATTCTCTGTGAGAGTGAATTGTGAAGTAGTAAATTGGGAAACTGTTTTTAACTTGTACTAAGGTTAGAGCCGAGTAATGCTACATAAACTAGTACAAAGCCTCCACGGAGCCTTTTAAGTAAACTTGATTTGATCTTAATTATATGAAAACTAATAAGAAAAATTAAAAAAATGCATTATTTTTTTTCCAGAATATTATTTTTCTTAACCTTTCTTCTGAAGGTGAGGATGGTATTACGGTTATGACCGCTGAAGAGATTTCACGTTTTTAACACCATTTTTTTTTCGCCCATTTCTGTCACAATACTAAACTGACCATAAATATTATAGTTTCAGGGTGGTCATGGTTGGGGGACGAGGAGGTCGGCTTGAGAAAATTGGCCACGAACGTATTCAAACCGTGTTTGTCCTTGGCGGTAACAAAACCTTCCATAGATTTGGCGATAAAATTATTATTACCATATCATACGAGTTTATGGTCGTATGCGGAATAAATGTGCTCGAACTTATGTGATCATTTCCTTTTAAAGCCACACTAGTAGAGCGATCAAAATCTTCATGAAGAGAAATTTAATTTTAAAATTGACTGAGTTCTTTTCCTTATGAAATTTAATACAACTTAAGAATGGATGACGGCTTTTCAACAATAGATCGTACAACACTAGTCTAACAGCTAAAAACTCACTCCAGCATATTTCAGATGCATGATTTCCCAAAGATTGCTAATTTAAATCGTTGCCTAGTTCTTACAGCCACACGGAACCTTCTCACTTTGTGTAGAGAACATCCTCCCATGGGTGACGGTAGAGCGGTTGCTTCAATCGCTTTTGGTCAAATGTATGCCTGAAAATTTAAATAACAATGAGACCAAGCCACATAATGGATTCACACAAGACATGTAATGTACACAACCAGTATCAGTTAGTGGGAGGACCAACTAACTGAAAGTGGAACACTCTGGACTATTTGTCCAGAAGAGAATTGTGGATTAAAAAACCAGAAAGGTCTAAAACTAACAATGGAATGGTGTCTAAAAAGTGCTGTTTACATGAAATACGCAAAATTTATTAAACTCACCCAATCAGACCAATGGAGCGTGCAAGCACAAAGAGCCCATTCAGATAGCCAATCTCCACAATTTCATCAATCTCTTGCTTGGTGAACATTCCACTACCAGCAAGAAGATCCAAGAAAAGAGATCCAATTGCACCATCTACGTTAAGAACTAAATTATTTGCCTTTGTAAGGGTGTAGGTTTCAACTTGAACAGCATATTCCATGTATTTCACGGAAGGAAAATGTGTGCGTGCAAACTTCTGAAGCAGCTCAACTCTCTTGTCTTTGTTGTCCCTATTCTTGATCCTGTTTCACAAAGCAAAACCAAGCTTCAGAATTTATATTTTTAATCTACAGCAACAGCAAGAAAAATATTTATTGCTTAGTTGAACAGATTGAAAATGTTACCTGTGCCCTATTCCTGGCACACGAATTCCCTTCTTCTTCATAGCTTCAACAAACTCATAAGGTGTAAGCCCCTGTGACATGACAAAGTAAGTAGAATCACGTGTCAGAAGAAAGATCAAGTTCATGGTGGGTGGGTGGATGGATGTGGAGACGCCATGGCCGGGGGGGGGGAGGGGGGGGGGATGAGTTTTGAATTTCCCCTTTCTTTTGGCCCAATAGGATTTTACTCTCCCACACACCAACCATTCTTA